TGTGCACTTCCTGTTAGTCCGGCCGGGTACAGGAGACAGATGCTCCCTGTACCCGCGGACCATGATACAGGGCTCGGCCACGCTACAGGGAGGGAGTGACAGGAGGGAGTGCTGAGCACTTCCCTCCTGTCAGCCCCTCTCCTCAGGCTGCGCCCAGGCGGTGCACCCTCATGGACCCACCAGCCCGGGCAAAGCTGCAGCCACCTGAGGCTCTCTGCAGAGCGCTCGAGCTGCTGCGCCCCACCCCAAGGCACCCCCACCCTGCTGGCACCCGGTGCGAACCGCCCCCTCCGCCCCCCCTTAGTACGCCACTGAAAGTATCTGCCAGTATTTTCTCCTTACATGCTGCATTCATCTTTCCATCAAAATTCACAAGATTCCCCGTGCCTTTAGAGCTCAGTGAGCCACCACTATGTTTTACAGTAGGGATGGTATTCTATTCACTGTAGGCCTTGTTGACCCCTCTCCATACATAGTGCTTATGGTTGTGACCATAAAGCTCTATTTTACTCACGTCACTCCAAATTACAGTGTGCCAGAAGCTGTGAGGCGTGTCAAGGTGTTGTCGGGTATTTTGTAACTTGTCTTGTTTGTGGCATTGGCTGGCTTCTTTCTGGCAACTCGACCATGCAGCAAAGTATCGTTCAAGTATCGTCATATTGTGCTCCTTGAAACAACCACACCGTCTTTTTCCAAAACGGTTTGTTTTCCTGGCACTGGAGAATCCCTTTAATAAGTGATTGAACAGTACTGGCTGGAATTTTCAAAGTTTGGATATCTTTTTATATCCTTTTCCATCTTTATAAAGTTCCATTACATTACATGTTATGCAGGTCTTTTGACAGTTCTTTTCTGCTTCCCATGGTTCAGTATCTAGCCTGCTCAGTGCATCCATGTGAGAGCTAACAAACTCACTGACTATTTATACACAGACACTAGTTGCAATTTAAAAAGCCACATGTGTGGAAAATAACCCTTTAATTACCATTTTAACCTGTGTGTGTCACCTTGTGTGTCTGTAACAAGGACAAACATTCATGGGTAAGTAAACTTTTTGATCAGGGTCATTTGGGTGATTTCTGTTATCATAATGATTTTAAAAAGAATTCAACCAACTATGTGATAATAAATGGCTTCATATGATCACTATCTTTCAATAGAGTTCATTTTTTTTTTTTTTTTTGCATGATCAGTCTTATTTTCAAAATCAATGCCAAAATTTCTGATTTTTTTTTACCTGGTTATGCAAACTTTTCAGCACAACTGTATATGGAGGTGAATGCCCCATTAATGAAAATAAAAGAGAAGTTTCCCTAGATCCCTTGGCTAACCCGTGGGGTGGGCCTGGAATCAGGGAAAAAGGTCAGGAAGGTGGTACCAGTTCCACCTAATATGGGCTTGGACCCGGTTAATGTAAATGCCAAAAAAAAGGAAATAAAATTAAATCGAATGCTGTCCCTTTAAGGGGCGCTATCAATTCACTGGTATCGGTATAACGGACATCCCTAAAAATAAAAACCAAAAAATACCTATGAACTCATGTGGAGAGGATATAAAATAGGGTAAGCAAGTATCAGAACAATGTGCACTGAGTATGGGATGTGCAACAAAGTATCGTGGCTAAACTACTGTTTCAATTAAACTTTATTACCGTTTGCCAAAAAGAGATAAAGTGCACTTAGAAAGTAAAACTACTGCAACCCTATATGATCATTGGAGACTGCTTAGGACAAATAAAATAATGGTAATTATTTATAGCTCGGTAATGGAACCTCACAGGGACCGAGACTAGTAATCCAGCCCTCTTTGAGTAGTCCTCCCAATGATAAAGGTGTAATATGTGGGAGAGAGAAACGATAATATTGTCTCCCTAGTAAACACCTATAATAAATATAAACCGGTAGGTAGAGGGGATAGAACAACAGCGAAAGCGGAAACAGAAAACCTCCTTAGCATATATGGACATCTAAAAGTGTTAGCCCATAAGCCATGAAATCGGACTAAATATGTAACTGCTAAGGGTGCTGCTATTCTGTTTCCCTACAAGCTCCTTATAACACCTTCGTGGGTGTTCTATGCTAGAGCTAGCACTAGAATGAATGTCCCTATCTACGAGCTATCTGCTCATAATCCTACTCCAAATAATACATGTATAATCAAAAAAAGTACAAGTGAAAAAAATGAGCAAAACAATAAGTGCCGTTAGGATTCCCTTAAGTGCATAGTGAGTGCTCAAGTGAGGTGTCGGGATATCCTAGCAAAAAACCCATTAAACTGCTATAAAAACCCTATTTGAGGGATATGCTTGGCCAAAATTAGTTCATGCAAAAGGACAATGATCCCAAGCACACCAGCAAATCTGCAACAGAATGGCTGAAAAAGAAAAGAAGCAATGGTCCAGTCAAAGACCAGACCTCAACCTGATTGAAATGCTGTGGTGGGACCTTAAGAGAGCTGGGCATAAACAAATGCCATAAACCTCAATGAACTAAAACAATGTTGTAAAGAATAGTGGGCCAATATTTCTCCTCAACGATGTGAGAGACTTGTAAAGTCATACAGGAAACGATTACTTCAAGCAATTGCTGCTAAATATGGTTGTACAAACTATTGAATCATTAGATGTACTTAATTTTTTACACATGGGTTTGTTTTTGTTCAGTAAATCGGTGTTGTATGTCATGTTGTTGTATTTACCTAATTTTAAGACCTGCTATGGAACAGATTATTGTTATTATGTCATTATATGTAAAACCACAGAATTAAAAAAGGGGGTACTTTCTTTTTTTTCCCCATGACTTCTCCTATAAAACCAAGACAGAAAAAAACAAAATGTTTAAGTGGGACAGCACTGTAATCCAATGGAAATGACGGGTGGTATTAACCCCTTAAAGGACCACTATAGTGCCAGGAAAACATACCCGCCGGGCTCTGGGGAGAAGAAATGGGTTAAATCTTACCTTTCTCCAGCGCCGGGCGGGGAGCTCAACTCCTCCTCTCCGCCTCTGATCCTCCTCCTGGGCTGCATGCTCGGCAGGAGCTGCGCGTGCATTCAGCCGGTCTCATAGGAAAGCATTTACAATGCTTTCCTATGGACGCTTGCGTGTTCTCACTGTGATTTTCACAGTGAGAAGCACGCAAGCGCCTCTAGCGGCTGTCAGTGAGACAGCCACTAGAGGATTTGAGGGCTGGATTAACCCATTTATAAACATAGCAGTTTCTCTGAAACTGCTATGTTTATAAAAAAATGGGTTAACCCTAGCTGGACCTGGCACCCAGACCACTTCATTAATCTGAAGTGGTCTGGGTGCCTAGAGTGGTCCTTTAAGGACCAAACTTCTGGAATAAAAGGGAATCATGAGATGTCATGTGTCCTTAAGGGGTTAAATAACTTCCTCTTTGTATATGTGTATCTTCACCGTTCTTTCCTATCGATGTTCCAATATTAAGAATTAACTGTATTAGACTGCTATGTATTATGCTATATCGATAACGCATACCTGTTTTACTGTACACTCCTTTATTGTACTTCTTTCTATAATATTCTAATGAAACTTGCAATACCAAAAAAACAAATGGAAAAATAAAAATTCATTGTCACTAATGTTTAGGATGCCTGTGAGATACAAGCACATTAATTCTATAAATTGATTGATAGTCTAACCGTTCACGATAAACTAATCCAGTTAAAAGCAGGAGTTTCAGTTTTAGTTAAATAATAATGAATTTCATTATATGAAGGCACCTCATCCACTTTACTACAACTTTTGATGTCTTACCATGAAAATAGTACAGTTATCTGAAGCTCTGCATTTGTATGTGTCTAATAACATCTCTATCTGTAAAGTTATCTGACTTGTGTCTGTGCTGCAGAGTCAACGAGGGTATAAAAGCCTATGAAGAGTCCATGAAGGAACAGAAAAAGAGGGTTCCTACACCCCCTGAACCCCAATTACCCTCAACTGTGAGTGTCAGTGTATTATTATTTGATGCATTTTATTATAAGCAGACTATAACCATTTTTTACACCATTTCTTGTCTTTTAAATAGGAATTGTAATTGCTCTGGAAATTTCATTATTGAATATAACATTGCAAATAACTTACAGTTGTGTTAACCCTTTTTCATTTAATAAAAGGAGTGAGACAGCGCTAAATAACTTTGGCAGCAACCTTAAAAAGGGAATCCCTCAAACCCTATAAAACAAGATAAAAATAAAAACAGTAAAAGGCTGCGCACATTAAGTAGAGTCCAATACAAGGAGAAGAGAGAAAAGTCCAACTGGTATATTCTTACAGGTATCCTTGGTTGGTGGGGTCTTCTATTTATGTAGTGGGTTCACTCGTTTATGGAAAATAAAAAGAGGAAAAAAAAGGACATCCAATGGTATAGTATGTAAAATTCAGATATAGACGTAAAATTGATAGTATAAAACTCACATTTACCAGAGCTAATGTCCAGCTCTGGAGTAAAGCGCGTACAGCGGTTTAATCCCTGCTTATGGGATATAGGCAGGTTCTTCTCCGTGGATGGTATCCAATTCTCGGGATAAAATAAAATAAACAGCCAATAGTGCTCACTGTATGGCAAATAATAACAAGATAATAAAAGAAATGTACTTACAAAGAAAGAGCAGACCCACTGCTCTTTGATGATAGCTTGGGTGGATTGATCCCCACCTACGGATTTCTTTGGGTACAGGAAACTTCCAGGAATTTTTAGGTTTCTTTTAAAACCATAAAAATATTTAAAATAACAATAAAAAAGGCCAGGGTAAAAAAGAATGATATGTGTCTATAAAAAAGATAATTGGCACAAGCAAATGACCAAAAATACTTTAATATATATAAAAACACAATTTAAATATCCATAACGCGTTTTGTCACAAAGGGACTTTATCAAATGGAATAACATGATTAACCTGGCACATAGATGTTATATAAGAGCATAATTGTTTGAATTTTGGCGCCAAAACTTAGTTTGACCAATCAGAATTAAAAACACTTATACAACTTTAAAATACATCATAACTTATTTAGCACATAGTTTTTGGTAATACAACTTCATTAAATTATATATACAATTAAAACGAAGGTATGAAAGTGTAATTTAAGATAGTTTAAAAAAATCACGTGACCGGCGGCACTAAATAAGTTATGATGTATTTTAAAGTTGTATAAGTGTTTTTAATTCTGATTGGTCAAACTAAGTTTTGGCGCCAAAATTCAAACAATTATGCTCTTATATAACATCTATGTGCCAGGTTAATCATGTTATTCCATTTGATAAAGTCCCTTTGTGACGAAACGCGTTATGGATATTTAAATTGTGTTTTCATATATATATATATTTTTTTTTTTAAATTCTTTATTTTTTCACTCAATAGACACAGCAAGTGTACATGTTTTCATATATATTAAAGTATTTTTGGTCATTTGTTTGTGCCAATTATCTTTTTTATAGACACATATCATTCTTATTTTACCCTGGCCTTTTTTTATTGTTATTTTAATTTTTTATGGTTTTAAAAGAAACCTAAAAATTCCTGGAAGTTTCCTGTACCCAAAGAAATCCGTAGGTGGGGATCAATCCACCCAAGCTATCATCAGAGAGCAGTGGGTCTGCTCTTTCTTTGTAAGTACATTTCTTTTATTATTTTATTATTATTTGCCATACAGTGTGCACTATTGGCTGTTTGTTTTATTTTATCCCGAGAATTGGATACCATCCACGGAGAAGAACCTGCCTATATCCCATAAGCGGGGATTAAAACCGCTGTACGCGCTTTACTCCAGAGCTGGACATTAGCTCTGGTAAATGTGAGTTTTATACTATCAATTTTACGTCTATATCTGAATTTTACATACTATACCATTGGATGTCCTTTTTTTTCCTCTTTTTATTTTCCATAAACGAGTGAAACCACTACATAAATAGAAGACCCCACCAACCAAGGATACCTGTAAGAATATACCAGTTGGACTTTTCTCTCTTCTCCTTGTATTGGACTCTACTTAATGTGCGCAGCCTTTTACTGTTTTTATTTTTACTTTTTCATTTAATGTAGCACAAAAGCAGGGTCGGCTCTAGACTTTGCGAGGCCTTAGGCGAAACTCAAACATGAAGCACCCACTAACCTCATTAGTGAAAGAAATAGTGCCATAGTTAGGGGGTGACATGGGGCAGAGTGTGGGGGGGTGACATTGGGCATAGTGTTGAAGGGGGTGACATTGGGCATAGTGTTGAAGGGGGTGACAGGTGGGAGGTTGTGACAGATGGCAGAGTTAGGGTGGGTGACGGGTGGCAGAGTTAGGGTGGGTGACGGGTGGCAGAGTTAGGGTGGGTGACGGGTGGCAGAGTTAGGGGAGGTGACGGGTGGCAGGGTTAGGGAGGTAACAGGTGGCAGAGTTAGGGGGGTGACAGAGTAAGGGGGATGGCAGAGTTATGGGGGGCTGGCAAGGGGGCAGTGTTGGGGAGAGAAATACCTTGCTCCCTGGTGGTCCGGTGGGCTTTCTAGTCGGTCTGCAGCTCCACCGGGTGTAAGCTGTAGACCATCTCCAGAAGTCTGTGGTAACTCGCGGCAACGCTCTGATTGGTTGGGGGTCGCAAGACACTTCAGCCTGCAGCTCACACCCTGTGGAGCTGCACACTGAAGGCTGGCTCTCTGGGCAGACGGGAGGAGCCTCGCACCCGGCGGCACACAGAGCAAGCCACCAGGCCCCCTCCCGATGCCGGGTCCTCGATCATGGACCGAGGACCCAACAAATCACTTGGCCCCCTAGGTGATTTAGGCGGCCACAAGGCCCCAGCCAGAGCGAGGCCTTAGGAGGCCGCCTAAAGCGCCTAATAAGAGGGCCGCCTCTGCATAAAAGTGTCCTTGAAATGTGTATGAAACAACAAAGAAGAGGTAATGGAAACTAATAGTGCAGTAAGTTTGGATATTTTGATATTAGAGGAGGTAGATAACATATTACACTCACACTTTTAAGGAACTTAAGTCCAGTTCCAATTTAAATGCCTTGGTTGAATGATCCCCGCCTATGGATATATTGTGATATAGTTCCAATAAGCTTTCTAAATGATAATGGTTGTTCTCGTGAAAACATAAAAAAAGAAATAAAATAGTATAGTGCAGTATGTCAGACACACTGGAGAAAGAAAGTAAAAATGTGCACTCACTCAATATTACTCACATGGGATAGAGCAAAATAAGGTTTGCTTAATCCAACAGGTATAGGTGGTATTATCCCTACCAGGGGTGTGGAGTCCAGGAGTCTAACAGTAACAAATCAGGTCCAGATGAGAAAGTACTTTACATTAAAATTAAATAAAGACGGGGCTTGGCCAGCTGTCTAACGAGGAAGACACGTTCTTGTGCAGCTCCGATATAGAGACCAGAAACCCGCAAACAGGACCCTCCAAACGCAACAAATACAGCCCCCACACAGTAACGGACATGGGGCGAAAAAACAAGAAATTTCGCCTTCCGTAACCGCTTAAAACAACCAAGATTCGGCTTTCCCTTACGAGGCCTAATCTGGCGGCACCAACCAAAATGGCGCCCACCGCACCCAGCGAGGAGGAAGCCTCGGATGTCTCCCAGGAGGTCAGAGACAGCCCCACCTCATCTCAGGTAGAAGACGGAGCCCAGTGTCAGGCATCTGAATCGGAGGAAGACTCATCCCCAGTCACAAAGAGGGATATTAGAGATCTCCTAGAGGAAATGAGGGGGGGGGGGTTGTGGAGGGCAGACTTGCAGACCACAAGGAAGGAGATGGGGGTCATCCAGAAGAGGCTCACTGAAGTTGAAGCCAGAGAAAGCGCCAGAGACGCCCAGCAACAGATCTCCAGTGACGCTGTGCAGTGTCTACGCTCACAGGTCCAGCAGTTCAAGAGGACGGTCACAACGCTGGAGGTCCGCCACAGAAGGTGAAACATTTGCATCAGAGGCTTACTAGAGACAGTTGGGGAAGATGCCCTTTTGAGGTACATATCCCGCCTTCTCACCAGAATGGAAATAAGGTTGCACACCGAGCCAGACAAAATAGTAACCGCATTTAGAATACGCAAAGCCGCCACAGCGCCAGCAGAATCCCCAAGAGACGTCATAGCGGTCACGAAAGATATACAAACCCACTCAGCGATCATGGCTCGCTCCCGAGAAATAGGAAGCGTTCAATTCGAAGGCAATACAGTGTCCCTCTATGGAGACCTCCCGTTCGCAGCCCTGGTGGAGCGGAGACCACTAGCACCAGTGGCTAAACAATTGAGAGCGGAGGCAGTCAAATACCGGTGGGGGGCAGATGAATCCCTAACAGCAATGAAGGGAGACCGGACATTCACACTCACTTCCACGGACGACCAGGCGCAATTTCTCCACCAGCTGAGAAAGCAAGAGGCGGAAAACAAAGAAACCCAGAGAAGCCGACACTTGGAAGCAAAGACACACACACAGCAAACCAGGGCCAACAAAGAGTCACCACACTTCAGCATCACTGAGGAGACAAACCCTCACCTGAGCGGCTTACCACAGCACTCACTCAGAGGACCACCAAATCCCAGGTGACGGCGAGTATATACGCAGCACCACACTGATAGGGAAAACCATCAACCAAGTTATATGCCCCAGAAATCCAATTCCAGATGTTATACCATTTTAGCTAAAGTTAGAGACTTTCCTCTCCCTAATGTTTAGCTTACAGAGAGCATAATGTTGGAGACCCCACAAACACCCCTAAAAATGGGACTGTCTGCATTAATACAGGCCTGAGACGGGCCGTAACATGGGGTCACAAGGGACCTGAGGTTACAGAGTAACAAACAATAGACGCTTTACCAACGATGCCACGGACTAACTGTTACAAAAACGCTGTTTTGTTGCTTTTTACATTTCCCATACTATGACACTGTTGTATTTTGAGTACTAAACCTCTAATAAAATATAAATTATATATAAAAAAAAAATAAATTAAAAAGACTATAAAATAATGCTTAAAAGTAGGTAAATACGGGGGCAGAGCCTGTAAGCCAACCTGACAGGACGCCATCTGCTCCAAAGCAAAACCTGCGGATTCTACGAATATCAGCCAGCCTGAGCCTAATCCAAGTCCGAAACCTACATCGCCTGATCCAGCGAGTTGGCTGTTATCGATTTAATGCCTTTTTTTTGCCTCCGAGAAACGACCCCAAAGGAGACGCAGGTCTCGGGCCTCCTGCATGCCAACGATCCCGGACCTGGGAGATATCTGGGAAGATACTGTTGCAAGAGGGGTCCAGTCTGCAGTCGTCTCAACACCGGCTCCACCCCAACGGTACTCACACCGACAATGGGCCGACGCTCTCAAAAACTCCACGCCGCAACTGAGGGCAGGTATATTGGAGAGATGCTTCAGCGGCCTACTCCACACAAGCCCACGCCCGCGGAAGTTCCGCAAGCAGACGCACCCTAACACAACCCGGGAACAACAGGGACAGGAAATCCCTCAGCCTTTCCCACAGGACTCCTCAGGCGACTCAGCCCCGACAACCAAAACTAGACCTGAAACTCCTGTGGGCAGAGATCCATAAACTGCTGGCCGCTAAATCCACCCTCATAAAAACGGAGATGCACGCGGTTACAGAACGGGTGAGAACCACAGAGGATGAAATGGTAGAAGTGCAGACCCACCTATCTAAATTGGATGTGTAACGGATCACCTGGCACCCCGACTGGGTACCTCCGTTAAAGGATGCTCCTAGCACTTCCTGAGGACTCCAAGCACTGCAGCAGACACCAAAACCACCGAACCGTAGGAGCATATGAATGCTCTCAAGCATATGAATGTTGTATACAGCCGAATAGGTTTACACTCCTAGCAGTCAAACTGGAACAGAATACAATAAATCCTCCCCCAGTAATGAGACGACACTTCACTTTGAGGGTTAAGCAGGAACTGACTGGACTGGCACATACAGCCTCTTTTATTCCCAATCCACAAACTTAGTACTGCCCACAGGGTTTTACAGAACAACCAATAACACACGTACATTACAGAAAGACACTCCCACACAAAATCCTCCCCTCTGCCTGTGATACAATTACCTTACACAATCTAATTATCACAGACAGAGAAATACAGTTTCATAAAACACATCACAGGGACCCCAAAACATGCAATAACCCCATAAAAGTATATCCTTGGAACCGGGGGATCTGGGTGAACCACATATCCAAAATTCACCCAGATCCGTTCAGTACTTTGGAAGATACAGTTTAATGCAGATTCTGCAGACCATATACAGGCTAAATGAAAAACAATCACTGTATAATGTGTCCCCTGCTGTATAGTCCAAAACCACTGCACGCTGTCTTTGTGCACCAAATACTAGCGAGATGGCACCGTGTTGAAAAGTCCAAACAGTGTCTGAGAGTTAAAATGGCCGCCATCCATTGTTCTCACCATGTGCTTCATCCATTGTTCTCACCATGTGCCTCTGATACAGAAATTGGTGGCCACCCAGTAACTCCACAGTATGTTCCCAGATGGTTCTTAAAGGGCCAGCAGCAGCACAACACAAATCCCTTATGCCCAAATCATGTCTTTAAAGGGCAATACATCCCAGGGGCCTTAGTCACATGGCAGGAGGCTGGCAATCAGTCTTCTCCAATGCCCAGTGGCGAGGTCGGTTTCGCCACAGGATGAATCTATGCTGCAGATCCAGACTATTCAGCAAACTTTGCCAATGAAGTACCCATATCAAGATAAGGGGTATCGCAGCTACAATCACGGCGGAGGCACTGCTGCATTATGTCCGCCGACAATCCTGATTCACACGTTGGCGAAAAAAATCACCATAGACAGAGTCTACCGTCTCTCACCAGTACTACACCACTCAAGCCTACACTGGCTCGCGATGTAATCTTCAGATGTCTTACCATTCCAGACAAAATCCAGATCATGTTGGCTCTTAGAGGCAAGACACCCCTGGCGTTTGAAAACTCCACTCTCACGTTCTACCAAGATCTCACAAAGACCACCCTCCTACAATGCAAAGGCTTTTGGAACTGTCACTGCCCAGCTGCATGCGGCCAACATGGCCTACAAGTGGGGAGAAAACCGCTCTGTTATAGTCCACCACTTAGTAATGTTACTAGAAGAAAAGGCACATTTGCATTTTGAAGGTTTTTTGTTTTCTATACCATAAACAAAAATCAGTAAAAATTGCTTTTAACCCCTTAAGGACACATGACATGTGTGACATGTCATGATTCCCTTTTATTCCAGAAGTTTGGTCCTTAAGGGGTTAAATTGGCTCAAATTTTGTACGTTTCTAACCCGATTAATTTCTTGCTTCCCTTACAGATGAACAGTGAGCAGAGAAAACGCAGAGTGAGTATTTTACATATCTTTTCCTGGAATTCTAATTTGATATCTGTAGAAATTGTTACTTTATTTCATTTGTTACTAAATAGAATGACACAAAATTATTGAATAATTGAAATCAAAGAAAGTTGCCAGTGAAAATGTGTCTAAATCTGCTTTTATAGCTTACTGTATATAGATCAACTACTAATCCTGGGTTTCTCAAGCCAAGTTAGTTGCCAATTTATCTGTTAAATTGCACACTCTAAGATTATCAGTGAATCGTGTCTGGAAATGTAGTTTGGAATCTATGCACCAATGCAAAATTACTCCCAACCCCCTTAAACGGTAAGGAATGTTCTTTTAGCTCCTTTATAAAAAAAAATTCTGATGTGGCTTTTAAAATTAGTTGTTGTTTCTACTGTCTCTCGTAGAACACTGTTTAACTGAATAACTGTTTCCTTGTTTAGCTGAATTACCTCTACATGAAGAACTGTGTAGAGAGCAGCCCTGTGGTGCCTATCCAGAAGCACTGGCTAAACTCTATACTCTCCCATGTACCAGCATCACTGCAGCAGGGGAAAGACCGGGAGGATCTGGTTAAAGAACTGCTAGAGGAAGTTTCACATGACTTTGAAAAGAGCATGAAGAGACACCTGGGTATGTGGGCTTGCAATAACTTCTAGCACTGCATGCATACCACCCAAAATTTAATATCTGAAGAGAGAAAATTTCATTTTAGGGGGTATGGCTAACTTGGAACATTTTTTTTTTTCTTCTTTCAATTCTGTATTTTATATTTTCGATAATTACAAACAAACAGTTGAAAAAGAGCAATATGAAGTAGAACCATAGTATGTAAGCAGAATAAAGGCTTGTTGTTCAATGAGTAATACAAGGTTGCAGATGACAAGGTCTTTATAACATTAGCAACCCAGAACGTAGGGATGTTAAATTGTCCATTAGCCAAAGCTCCTCTAGGGGAATTAAGCCTGGCCCTGACCATAGGTACAGTAGTTTTAAAAATAAACCAGACAACTATGTTGAGTAAATGTGGCAAGTAGGAGAAATCTGTTGTGATGTAGATCTATTGTTTTGTGCTTGTGTAAATACTGGAGGTGAATGTAGAAGTGAATAAGCCTATATCCCACAAAGTATGGATATATGTTTTTAATTAACGGTTAACCTAGGACATTTTAAATAACTGAATATATAATTTATAAGAAGACCAAAGTATTTATTTAAACAAACTAATTTCTCAACAAATTAACTGTATTGTAAAGGCACTTTACTGTTTGTTTTGTTTTTTGCTTTGATACAGTTGTACAGCAAAGCTATTTTATTTATGTTTGAGTCCTATGAACGATAATGGCTTTGTTTTAAGCAAACGTGTGGAACAGCATACAGTCAATGTTTCAACCCCAGTACCTTGACATATTGAGAAAAGCCTGGTAATGACAAAAGACAGACAGGGTTATTTACTAAATTTCAAATGTTTGCAAGTGAAAATCCAAATTAGCACAGTTCAGGCTAATACTGTTATTATAGCTTGTGATGATATGACCCTTGCGTCTCTGGCACTGAAAGTGTACCAGTTCAGGCCTGCTATCGTCCCTGGGTTTCTTTTACCTAACCTGTACTGTACTATTTGGGAGTTTGGATCACCAAAAGTATGGATAGGTTGATGGAAGACAATTTTTTATTTCTTTTGAAAGTAAAAAAAATCAGTTACTTAAAGGACCACTATAGGCACCCAGACCACTTCAGCTTAATGAAGTGGGCTGGGTGCCAGGTCCATCTAGGTATAACCCTTTTTGTTGTAAACATAGCAGTTTCAGAGAGGGTTGGTACAAAATTGAAATGGAGGCAGTAGGTCTGAAGAACTCCGACGGTGTTATCTGGAACACTAAAAAAATCGAAACAATGGGACTTGATTTTAAAAATAACAAAATACTGGATCAAGTGCTCCCTGTATGGGAAGAGATTAAAAGAAAAATAGGGATTAAATATGCAATGTTAGACTCTTTAACGCTTGATGTAATAGAAGCAAATATAAACAATATATCTCTTTCTAGATGGAGAGAGCGAGGTATCCATAAGGTGTCCCAAATGTTATATCAAGATAATCTGATGCAATTTGAAACTCTAGTCCAACAATTCCAATTACCTAACTTTGAAATTTTTTCATATCTCAGAGTCAAGTATTTTTTACAAAAACATCTAACTCTAGCTACTAAAAATGTCCCAAAGACACTAAAATATATTTTTTCAAATGAGGTAGTTCCTAAGGTTTTAGCAAAAGCAATAGATGTAATCAGAAGAATAAATCACTCAGACAGCCTGCCCCCAGAAGAAAGTATGAGAAAAAGATTTTTTAATTGCGTCTTAGATCATCGAGAATGGTGTAAAGCTCTCAATATTACTCTGTGGCAAACCTAGCCACTTCAGACTATTTTATATGTCTAAGGGTTGTCCTAGAAAAGCTGGTTAACTGATGTGATTTTGTGTATTCGCTTATAAATGTGATAGAGGGCATTCGTATGCTAGTGGCACGAAAGCCGCTAGCATTCATATGGTAGTTTCACGAACAGTGACTTTCAACACTGTTCGTGAAACGAACAAAGTACCGAATGGGAGCCCACACACAGGGGCAACAATGTATCTATCGGCTGCTAATTGATTCCCAGGGTGGCCGTCGTTCGGATACCGACCACGCGGTGGTGGCCATCTTGGATTCCCTTTTAGCCCAGCAGTGTTTGGTTGTCGAGTGCCTGGAACTAAAATCGGCTACTCAACGCCACGAACACCGCTGGACTTTCAGGCCGTTCGGGAGCGCCCGTCTTTCGGTACTTTCTCCCAACCTATGCATTCGGGACTTTTCTGAAGAGTTGATGTAAAATGTATTTTGTGCGGCGTTCGGTTAATTGTGCTGGGATCTGAGTGGTACTTTCACAAAGTATGCACTCAGACCCCAGCTATCTGCCGATCGGTCATTCGGTACATTGGCACGAATAAAGTATAAGTTACAGATTTTTATATGAATAGCCGGTTCTGCTGTACGGAGGGATAATTCACTTAGCAGGATATTCTTGTGGGAGTATCCCTCTCGTATAGCAGGGCATGGTGGGAAAAATGTCCTGTATGTTCAGTTCCCCATGTAGTCCTCTACTGTACAACCCCTGTAAAGTGATTAAGGAAACCCCTTGCACGGGGAACCACATAAATACTGAAGCTTGTGAATAAAAACCTCAGTTGACTCCCAGAACTGTGTTTCGTCCGGTTACTGGGGGGATTTGGGATATTGCCTTCCATTTCAGTGCTTTCCTTGGATTACTTTCTTTACCAGCGGAGATATTGGGATTTAATATTGCAGCTCCGCTACATACTCGTAAACAAGTACAATGCTTGAACTTGGTTAAAACCCGCTATAAATTTATAAACCGGTGGTACCTGGTCCCACATAGAATAGCACAGGTGTATCAGAATTTCTGTAATATATGCTGGCGATGTGGCCTCAAAGAAGGTACCTACCTCCATATATTCAGAAAGCATTAGACCTACTCTTTAAATATATTTTGGATAAGACAGAGGTAATATCAGAGCAGAAACCTGAAGTCGCACTGTTACATATGCACTGGCCAAACATCTCACAAAATAATGAGAGCTATATTATACATTGGTTCATTGCATATAAGATCATACTTGCACGCAAATGGAAGAATTACCATGGGAGCTAATTAAAGCTCAATTGCTCTTACAGATAAAGATGGACAGAGATTTAATCATCCTGTTCCTGAATGCCCCAAAAAGACAGGCTTTGTGGCAAGCATGGCTAACAAAAACACAACAGGCCTGAGTTCAAAATAGATATTATTACCAAGACTTTAAACTACGCAACCTGAACCAAGACCTACTACAAACACACCGACGGCCAAGACATAGAACAAATGGCCACTGCAGTCAGATAACACCAGACGAGAGTTGCGAAACCACACGATCTGCGCGCCACACACATCCACAGCCCAAACACAGACCTTTTTGATCTACCCCAAAACCCACAGAACAACACCACATCCACGCACACAGGTGAACCCACCTCAACGCGACGACACCAAGACACACAGACAGTGACTCAGACACACAAACCGGAACCACAAAGACGCAACATTAGAGGCAGACACACAGAGCTCCAGAATAAAGCAACACTACATAGACATAACCATGGAAACACGCAATAGAGGTGACACAGACTTACCGCAGAAGGTTTCACCATCACCAGCAGAGGGAAAGGACACGAAACATACAAAACAAATACAACCCCAATATGCACGAGCAGGTAGCCACGAGACACACTAGAACTCAGGGATACAGACAAAAGACTAGAACGCGTAAACACCAACACATGTTCGCAAGATGGGCCTTCACTGCAGTTTACGGCAACAGGGATAAATACGCAAACACAGGCATCTCAGAAGAAAACAGTGTATTATTAACGAACCACACTAACACCATTTAATGAGCCGATAGCTGAACACATGATACCAACTGCCACCCCAAATAGCCACTACATACCTGACAACAACGCCCTAACAACGCAATACCAAGCAAGCTCACCACCTTTTGCATGTCTAGCCCTGCAAGGCCTATAAATGTCTAATATTTGTCATTGCGTGTTTATTTTGACTTATACGCCTCTGCGCAGGCAACTATGTGTTACTCTGAGTTAACTGGAATATGTCGGCCTCACATTATATACACTTTCAATGTGCACGCCTCTGCGTAGGCAACTATATGCATGAATGATACCAAGTTCAATACCCGTGTTTATATTGCTGACAATAAACATATTTAAAACAAAATAGATATTATTGCCTGCAATCAGCATGATCTGAACATCTTTATACCCCTCTCAACTTTGCAGAAACTTTGTGGTCTTATTTTTTTCTTCTTCGATATTTGTATTTGTATATATTGATGTAATAACCCGTGAGGAATATGACACATTTATTATTGGAGGCATAATGTGGTGTTGTGTTGATATATGTGTCGTGGTTTTGTCTTTTTTTTTTTTTTTTTATGTCTATATTTAAAAAAAAATAATAAAAGAATTTATAAAAAAAAAATTATTAAACAAAATTTGCAATAAAGAAAGTGTAAACATTAGATTACTCTTTATAGGAAGGATTTAGGAAGGCTGTGTAAGTCACATGCAGGGAGGTGTGACTAGAGCTGTATAAACAAAGTGATTTAACTTGTAAATGACAGAGAATTGAGCAGTGAGACTGCAGGGACATAATCCATACACCCAAACTGCTTCATTAAGCTAAAGTTGCTTTGGTGACTATAGTGTCCCCTTAAGTATCAATCTCTCAATAAAAATCCTGTTTGTCTGCTCTGCTACCTGACAGGTAATTGGAACTGGTAATGAAGTGCTAGGAATGGAAATTGTACATTTTCTGCCAAGTGCTTATAATGAAATTTATATCTTATTATTTTAATTTTCTTAAGTGAAAAGTGTGCTAGTCAAGCCAGAGGTGAAAGGACTTGAAGCAGAAGACTCCAGACCATTACCGGAGTCCCCTGTGTGAGTATGTTTGCTTGTGTTGGGAGCGAGACCCTGGAAAATGTTTGTTCTAATAAAATATCTAAAATAAACCTAGATTCGAACAAACTGTTGATCACAAGATTAGCAAAATTAGCTTACAGTGACTTTCCACTGAACTTGCTATTCTCATGTATAATAAAGGCAAATCTGGTTGAAATTAAAAGTTATTTCAACCTACTGAGCACATCTCTTTTGCTACCATAATGTGTCTGCGTTAAAATCTTTTATTCTCTGAGATCAAAGACAGGCTGGGTATCAAAGACTGTTTTACTCAGGCTACACCCATCAAAATTCTTAAATTTTACATGCAGGATTTGTCCAGCTTGAACAATAATGGTATAGGTACCTTAAGAGATATTAAGTTAGATGAGGGTAGCCTGCAATTTGGCGTTTTACAAGCCAAATTTCACCTAAACCCTTACCTTTTACCGTAGAATTTATTTTATTAAGTTAAACATTTTTTTTACCTTATTTATCTTTGTCTATTTAACCATATTTCCCTTCCAACAAAATTGGATGATTTTATGGACAATCAGCATAATTCCAAATTAATTTCAAGATTAAAACAATTAATTATTAATAATTATCAAATTACATTGACTTCCTCTATGATGAAATGAGACATGGACATGGTTTTTAATTCAATAGAGGATTGGAAGGAAATATGGATAATGGTAAGAAAGAGTGTGCATTCTATAAATTTGCAGGAAATTTAATATAAGTTGGTGAATTGTTGGTATTTAGTTCCTTTATGAACTAGCAAGTTCAACAAATGTATCATATATGGTGGGATTGGGAGAAAGTACAGCAGATTAAGGTTAAACTGGATTAAATATTAACTGATAATTTTAATGCAAGTTTCTGTCATGATAACTATATGACCCAACACGCAGAACTATGTAATATGCAAAGAACAAGGATAACTAATACCGGGCCTTAGAATGGCAAGACATAACATAAAATAAGAATGGTCAAAATACTATCCGAGGTCAGGGACACAGAAATAGACACAACGAGAAAACAAGCCAAGGATACCAGAAATACGGGGAAGTCAAAATACAAGCCGAAGTCAAATACCAAAAAGAACAAGAATAGGAACGCACACTCTGTTAACCAACTAGTGGAAACCACGACAGGGCACTGATCAAATGCTATATTGAGTTTAAATAACCCTCCTAAGGCTATGACTGGTTGTACATAGCCTTTGACCCCAAAATGTGCATGCGCGTCGTTTTCATGACGTCACACACACGTCAGCGCCATCTTTGTTGAGGATGGAGGTGGGACTACATAGCTGCTTGGGACTGCAGCGGCCAGTGTTCATTAGAACACCGCATCGGTCAGGGATCGCTCCACAAGGGTGCTGAATGGCAAGCTGATTTGCCTTAGGTAAGTTTTTATTATTTTTAACAGCGTGACCGCATCGATCGGATGCAGCCACGCTGTATAGAGGCGCGTAGGACGTGACCGTTTCTCGCTTACGCCACAAACATAGCTTTTTCATCAAGATTTACCGAAGATGAATAAGCATAATAAACATTTTGCAGTAAATATTTTATTGGCTGTCAAAATTTGTATCACCAGAGATTGTCATAAATCAGACCCTCCAGCATGGCCTGTAATAGCTAATCAGAAATGACATCAAGCAAACATGGAACAACATTTGTAGGTTATAAACGGGAAATTATCATCTTATAAAGAAAAATGGTCACCCTTGGTTCGAGTGCCTATACCTTTTGGTGTATATACACACAATTTTGGTCATGTTGTTTTTTATTTTTATTTGACGAGGTCTGAATATAGACTCTCCTTTTAAAGATCCTCTTCTCTATTAAGAATAATATTTATTTGAGGATGTATGATAGGATGGGTTATTTATTTATTACTGATATTTATAAAGCGCCAACAGATTTTGCAGCATCTTAATAATGATTAGAAATAAGCAGTAATATTTAAACTTGGGGTAGCCTTCTTTGTTAGATGTTTTGCTTATTATAATATCTGTGATCTAGCAACATTTGTGGAATACAATTTAATTTTTTTGTTATGCATATTTGTATTTGTCTATTTGAAATGTTTTTGGACTGATTGAAAATTATTAAAGTATCTTTAAACTAAGTCTCACATGTAAATTCAATATAAGACAAAAATGTGTACTAGTGTCATATCTATAAGACCACTGCTACCACCTGTAATATAAACATATCTAGAAAGATATCAAAACATTGGAACCACATGTATTTCACAGTTCTTGGGAGATGTCTACGTTATAAAACTTAAAGGGACACTATAGTCACCAGAACAACTACAGCTTATTGAATTTGTTCTGGTGAGTAGAATCATTACCTTCAGGCTTTTTCCTGTAAACACTGTCTTTTCAGAGACAGTCTTTCAATCATGCTGGCTCTGCCCATGATCTGCCTCTTTGTCAGTCTCAGCCAATCCTATAGGGAAGCATTGTGATTGGATCAGGCAACCACTTCTGATGATGTCAGCAGACTGCTTATTTTTCTGAGTCTAACAGCAAGCAGAGTTACAGCTTCAGGCTTGAATACAGTAAGATTTTGCTATATTTATGGAAGCATGAGGGGCCCATGGGGGCTGGATGGTGGTGTTAACACTATAGGGGCAGGAATACATGTTTGTGTTCCTAACCATATAGTGATCCTTTAACTCCAACATTGTGTAGTGTGTCAGGATGGTTTCAATACTTTGTAGTATGTTATGTATATATCATAGGTGGTGGCTGTGGTTCTAACACACTGTACACTATTATGTGTTATTTATATCCATTTACATGTACCCATTTATAAGGTTTTGTGGATTTTGCTGCAGGTGGTAGGACGGCAAAAGGGAGCAGCCCTTTGGGGAAGTAAACATATCTATGTATTTGGAGAATTAGTAAAGTTTTCTGGTTTAATTTTATTGTATATGAATGATTTTTAGGGGTCTGGATTTCTCAAGGCCTTGGCACCAGAAATATATCCAAGCACGCAATCGGATTAAAGCCAACCTGCATGTTACTCACCCAGGCCTCAGGACTATACTGGACCTTGGCTTCTTCACATTCTCCAAGCTGCTAGTAGTTGACTTATCTGAATACAGGTGAATATAGTTACTAAATTTCGGTCTGTGCACTAAAATGCACCAATTTTGCATGGTTGTCCTGCAAATATATTGATTTAAACAATATTTTGTTTACATATTGGAGTTTAAGTACTCAATTGGAAATTGAATTGCAATTTCTTGGCTAAAAACTGATGTTTTTTTTTTTAGATTTTGTTTTCTAAATTCACTACAATTCAGTGTTTAGTTTATAAACTATTTTTAAACTAGTCTGTCTCATTTATTGTGTTGAGGCATGTGTGCATTTTTACATTGTAAGTGCACAAGTGGTATATTATAGGTATTCATATTGCCCACCACTACCTCACATCATACATTGAACCCATTTAACTTTTCATCTGCACATTTCAAAGCTATGTTATGGCTTAATGTATTTCTAATAACAAATATACCTTATTTAAAGACCTTGATTGTGCATATATAATATAGTGGCTTTACTAATAATGCTGATTGTGATCTTTTGTGTAACCTACTCTTAACACGGTCAAAATTTCTACCTTCAAAGATCAATAAAACGAGTGCCATATATATGGAAAATAATATAACCAATATTACAAGTCATTAAATATCTATGAAAAGACATTGGTGTCATGTACTTTTTGCGTGGCAGATAAAATCACTGAGTTACTAAGGGGCTAGTCTCTGTTTATCTCCCTTTCTGGTCCACACTTTATACACATACCACTTTAACCCCTTTTGTACAACGCTGTGGAATATGTTTGTTGCTTTACATCAGAATCTTAATAATTGCCTTCATTCATGTTTGTCACAGATCGAAGGGACCTGTTGAATGTGAATCCTTGAAAAACAATGTTTCGTTAGCTTGTGCAAAAACAGAGGAGAAATTACTCAATACGTGGTATCCAAAAGTGATCAATCTTTTCACAAATAAGGAAGCATTGTCGTCCATTAAACCAGACAAAATTGATTCTTTCTACACTTGTTTGTCAACGCTCATGTCAAATCAGGCAAGTCGCGCTTATGTCACTCATAGAGTGCGATATAAAGAAAGGCAAATCAAAACATAGCTTAGAAACAAAAAAGTGGAAAAGTGGTGCTAAAAATCCAATGTGATGTACACCATGAGAAAGATATATCATATATACCAGTGCATCTAAACACACCCAAGTGTAATGTCACAAGAAACACTTACATAAATGAATGGTACAAAGAAAAAGGTATAGTAGTCTCTAGTTTTTTTTTTTTTTTTATCTGGAAAGGGCAAGTGTAAAAAAAAACATCATAGGGCAACATTTAAAATGAGATATAACTTGGAACACTCACAATATAGAGAGCCATATAAGTCGGCTCTAAACTATGATGGCTTATTCATACATCCGATGTGGATACTGGAAAAGATGCAGGTCCCCTAGAAAGTAACACTATTCCTCTGGATGGTAATGCAGGAACCAAGCATGAAGTAAATAGTAACTATTTTATTTGAATAAAATCTAAGCACAATGCGTTTCGACCATTTGCAATTGGTCTTCCTCAGGTAATGACAGGTAAATATGACAAACTTATATATCACATAAAATGAATACAAATCAAACACACATGTGAGATTAAAAAACATCCCAACCCTTTTATCCATGTAAGAAATTTCAGTTTTTTGTTCGCCCCGTCCAATGAGGGGGAAGAGGTAACTTCTGTCTAAAGGTAAATAAATAAGATATAAATCCTAAACATACCAGGATCTTTTTTTCTCTATACCTCGAAAGCTAGGTATGTTGAGCATTGCCACTTTTCAGCATGTAGTTGAATACAAAATGTTAGCTGAATTAAAAATGTATTTAAAGAAAATATTTTGTGCACAAAATGCGGAACTGGAATTTTTAAATGTGATCGATCCCGTCTTTGCGTCACCCATAGCCCTCCCACTGTTAATCCACACTATTAATGCAGAAACAACATTTTTGCAATATGCTGGCATCAAGCAGATCAGCTTAATAAACCTAATTATTACAGTTAGTAAATAAAACCATATTTGGGAGACTGACAGACCAGGTGTTGAATTTAACTTGTGAGGATTTTCATATCACCCCTCCTCAGACTTTATGCATCTCAAATTTCATTTTTCTCCAAATGCTGTTACATGAATACACTTTTAACATTGTTCTAGCACATTGAACAAACACAAGACATTTCCAGGAAAATGAATGAAGCAAGTATTTAACAGTGAAAATAAAATTTTAACCGAGAAGTAACATGTACATAGAAAAAATAGTCAGTAGTGCTACAGATGTTTATTACGATAAAAAGAAACCCTCCTTTTTATTATCATCATTATTATTTTGATTTCCTCCTATGACTGTATCGAGCAGTTGAAAGATCTGTTGCAAAGAAGTATAGAGGCGTATGTGAAGTTATTTGATGACTCTGACCTGCGTTGGCTGCCATTGTTCAAAATGCAACTCACGTTTGATGATGAGAAAATGGATTTTTATCCCAGTTTCCAAGATCTGGAAGAAGCAGTCTTATTTATTGTTACCCAGATATCAAATACACTGCAGGTATCTTGGAAACATTTAGTCTGTTTAAATGATTGTTTATCTTTCTATCTTAGTCTTTGTCTGCCTATTCATTATAATCATTCTTTTATTTGCATAGGGCAAAAATAAGTAATTTACCAACAAAACTAAAGTTGACTTTGTAATGTCTCTAACAATTACAGACCATTTGCAATGTGCAGTAATAGGCAACTTAAAGGACCACTCTAGGCACCCAGACCACTTCAGCTTAATGAAGTGGTCTCGGTGCCTGGTCCAGCTAGGGTTAACCCTTCAGCCGAATGGGCGGAGAGGAGGAGGATCGGAAGAGGAGAGCTCCCTGCCCTGCGCTGGAAAAAGGTACGTTTTTACCCCTTTCCAGAGCCAGGCGGGAGGGAGACCCCGAGTATGTTTTCCTGGCACTATAGTGGTCCTTTAAATATAAAATGTCCCTATAAAGAAAAACCTAGCTGATCTGAGCCTCAGCTAACAAGCAAAACACACTTTCCTACTTCAGGTTAAACTAACAAAACACAGGCTTCCAAATTATCTGCAAATCTGGACTTTTTCTTCAGTCTTTGCGGCAACTTTAGCATCCTGCTTCTGCGACAACAGTCTGTCTCTCTCAGAAATGCTTACCAGTCGTTCATTTATTTAACTGACTAAATTTGAATTAGTGTAATGAAAATAAAAAGTGGGGGACGGAGTGAGTATGGGTGTAGGTTTGGACAGAATGGGCTCAATAGTTGGCCATGGTGCATGGAGTGTCGAGTGTACCATCTGATGCATTGTTGACACAGGGTAAATAGTAATAAGTATAGAGAATAATTTTAGATGAAAGATCTTTAACATTTTATTTTTTAGCATTAGATGGTAATACATCAATAATTCATACATAGGCGTTTTAAATAAATATTTGAGCCCTTTACATACATCTTCTTGATACCATCTTTCATACCTTTGCATTGTAAAACTACCATTTCTAACACATAATGGAAGTGGATGTCTAGTCCACGATATGGAGGTAATGCAAAGGCTGGTTTAGGTTCTTTATTTGGAATATAAAAATAGATTTATTGGAAGTTCACACCTCTGCTATTTGGGAATCAAGAATCCTGCTTTTGCAGGAGATTCTTCTACCACTTACCACGCTAGCATTTCTTAGCGAGAGAACAAAGATTGTTTAATGGAATACATCTGTGTGAAACCTTTACTTCCCTACAACCATATCACCTATCCCCTGCCTTCTTTATCTTTTCTGTTTCCATTTCTTCATTTTTTTCTCCCTCTCTCATACACTTTCTAACTTGAAACTGTTTGAATAAGCAGTTTTAAATAACCCAAATTAACCATTTGTGGATAATGAACATAGTGTCCATTTAAATTCATTTCCCATTCCTCAGAACATTCAGACTGCCCAGTCTTGGCTTTCTGGTAGCTCAACTATCCAAAGGATTGAAGCAAAACTACCAGACCATGTCAAACAATGGGCCATTTCAAAGCTAAAGGAAGCAGTCCAGCACCATTTGGAAGAGCCCAAGAAGCATTTTGACACTTATGGTACGTTGGAGATTACATTTTATATTTATATATATATATGACCTTGTTATAGTTTAAAATGTGGTTTTAATAGACTAATGCCTTTCTGCCTCTTGGTTTTTATTAATTTACTTTCCTTTTTCGATTATCTTTTTTTAAAATAATGATCCTTTGTTGTATTTCTTCCTATGGTCCATGTTTTCTGTAACCCACTTGTGGCGGAACCAACCTCGCCACTATGCACTGGAGAAGCCTGGTTGCCAGCCTCCTGCCATGTGACTATGGCCCCTGGGATGTATTGCCCTTTAAAGACATGATTTGGGCATAATGGATTTGCGTTGTGCTGCTGCTAAGCCTTTTAAGAACCATCTGGGGACATACTGTGGAGTTACTGGGTGGCCACCATTTCCTGTATCAGAAGCACATGGTGAGAACAATGGATGGCTGCCATTTTAACTCACAGACACTGTGTGGACTTTTCAACACGGTGCCATCTCGCCAGTATTTGTTGCACAGAGACATCGTGCGGTGGTTTTGGACTATACAGCAGGGGACACATTATACAGTGATTGTTTTTATTTAGCCTGTATATGTTCTGCAGAATCTGCATTAAACTGTATTTTCCAAAGTACTGAACGGATCTGGGTGAATTTTGGATATGTGGTTCACCCAGATCCCCCAGTTCCAAGGATATACTTTTTATGGGGTTATTGCATGTTTTGGGGTCCCTGTGATGTGTTTTATGAAACTGTATTTCTCTGGCTGTGATAATTAGATTACCCATTGTGTTCAGTAATCGTATCACAGCCAAAGGGGAGGATTTTGTGTGGGAGTGTCTGGGTGTATTGTATGGATTGATTGGCTGTTTTGTAACGCCCTGTGGGCTGTACTATGTTTGTGGATTGGGAATAAAAGAGACTGTATGTGACAGTACAGAGAGTTCCTGTTTTAACCCTCAAAGTGAAGTGTCGTCTCATTATTGGGGAAGGATTTATTGTATGCTGTTCCAGTTTGACTGCTAGGAGAGTAAACCTATTCGTATGGTTCCTATTCAACTGTCTACAGCATTCATATGCTTGGGAGAATTTATTTGTTTCTCCGGTTTGGTGATTGTGGTGTCTGCCAGAGTGCTTGGAGTCCTCAGGAAGCGCTAGGAGCATCCTTCAACGGAGGTACCCAGTCGGGGTGCCAGGCGATCCGTTACATTGGTGGCAAGCGGTGGGATGGCGTCCTAGTGCGAGGTAAAGCAGCTCAGAGACACAGTTCGTTTGGAGTTACAAAGTGAGGGCAACGCTAGTATCCGTACAGCGACCCTATCTACAAAAGAACTAACTTCAGCAGAGCAAGCATGGCGTATGACTACACTCAGGAGGAGTTTGACAGAGAGGTTAATGAGGTGCTGTCTACCTTTGGACCCAACCCCCCAGAGAGAGCCGTGCAGCTCGCCAGGAAACTAGTAGGAGAATACCTGCAATCTCTAGTAGATTTGGCCAAAAAGGAGTCCCAGGGAGCCAAAGGTGTCGTCTTTCCTCCCCAGCGGCAGTGTGTACCCCAGGGAGCAGAAGGTGTTGTCCTTCCTCCCCAGCGGCAGTGTGAGTCCCAGGGAGCCAAAGTGTGTCCCAGGGAGCTGAAGGTGTCGTCCTTCCTCCCCAGCGGCAGTGTGTACCCCAGGGAGCAGAAGGTGTTGTCCTTCCTCCCCAGCGGCAGTGTGTGTCCCAGGGAGTCCTTCCTCCCCAGCGGCAGTGTGTATCCCAGGGAGCTGAAGGTGCCGTCCTTCCTCCCCAGCGGCAGTGTGTATCCCCAGTCCTTCCTCCCCAGCGGCAGTGTGTACCCCAGGGAGCAGAAGGTGTTGTCCTTCCTCCCCAGCGGCAGTGTGTAGTCCCAGGGAGCCGAAGGTGTCGTCCTTCCTCCCCAGCGGCAGTGTGTGTCCCAGGGAGTGAAGGTGCCGTCCTTCCTCCCCAGCGGCAGTGTGTATTCAGGGAGCTGAAGGTGCGTCCTTCCTCCCAGCGGCAGTGTGTATCCCAGGGAGCTGAAGGTGCCGTCCTTCCTCCCCAGCGGCAGTGTGTATCCCAGGGAGCTGAAGGTGCCGTCCTTCCTCCCCAGCGGCAGTGTGTACCCCAGGGAGCTGAAGGTGCCGTCCTTCCTCCCCAGCTGCAGTGTGTACCCCAGGGAGCCGTCCTTCCTCCCCAGCGGCAGTGTGTACCCCAGGGAGCTGAAGGTGCCGTCCTTCCTCCCCAGCGGCAGTGTGTACCCCAGGGAGCTGAAGGTGCCGTCCTTCCTCCCCAGCGGCAGTGTGAGTCCCAGGGAGCCAAAGGTGTCGTCCTTCTTCCCCAGCGGCAGTGTGTACCCCAGGGAGCAGAAGGTGCCGTCCTTCCTCCCCAGCGGCAGTGTGTATCCCAGGGAGCTGAAGGTGCCGTCCTTCCTCCCCAGCGGCAGTGTGTCCTGCAGGAAGCGGAGACAGTCGGTCTCGCTCCCCAGCAGCAGGACAATATATTAAAAGGGGAGACAGTTGGTCCCCCTCTCCAACAGCAGAGAGTGTTCCAGGGAGAGGAACCAGTTATCACCTCTCGCCAGCAACAGGACAAATTATTGAAAGGGGAGACAGTCGGTCTCCCCCTTCAACAGCAGAGAGAGTGTCAGGGAGAGGAGCTTGTTATCCCCTCTCCCCAGCGGCTGAAAGTATGTATGGGAGAGGAGCTTGTTACCCCCTCTCCCCAGCGGCAGCTTAGCCCACCAAGGGGAGACAGTAATCTCCACAACAGTGCAGATGGGACAGTGGTCTCTGCACATGCACCACCGGGGGTAGGAACAGTCGGTCCTGTCCCCCAGCAGCAGGACTGTTTAGGCAAACAGTCTCCCTCCAGCAACCAGGCTCCAACCAGACTACTCCCGTGGTAGTGCTGGCACCAGGACAGAGTACCGCTGGTCTCTGCCCACTCAGCAACCCACCCAGTACGCTTACCAGTCACCCACACAGCCATGGTGAGGCACCTGGACACGGACAAAGTTCTCCTCTACCCAGGTGTAGTAGCCAGTTATTGTGGGTGGGCTGTATTACTGATTGTGTTTTGTGGGTGGGCTGCTGGACTAACAAGGGCACTGACCGGCAGGAGGTCAGATACCCTGTTAGTCTGATTGGTAAAGGGGAGAAGTGTGGCGGAACCAACCTCGCCACTATGCACTGGAGAAGCCTGGTTGCCAGCCTCCTGCCATGTGACTATGGCCCCTGGGATGTATTGCCCTTTAAAGACATGATTTGGGCATAATGGATTTGTGTTGTGCTGCTGCTGGCCCTTTTAAGAACCATCTGGGGACATACTGTGGAGTTACTGGGTGGCCACCATTTCCTGTATCAGAAGCACATGGTGAGAACAATGGATGGCGGCCATTTTAACTCACAGACACTGTGTGGACTTTTCAACACGGTGCCATCTCGCCAGTATTTGTTGCACAGAGACATCGTGCGGTGGTTTTGGACTATACAGCAGGGGACACATTATACAGTGATTGTTTTTTATTTAGCCTGTATATGTTCTGCAGAATCTGCATAAAACTGTATTTTCCAAAGTACTGAACGGATCTGGGTGAATTTTGGATATGGGGTTCACCCAGATCCCCCAGTTCCAAGGATATACTTTTTATGGGGTTATTGCATGTTTTGGGGTCCCTGTGATGTGTTTTATGAAATTGTAATGTTTCTGGCCAGCAGATAATGGAGTTTTGTGTATTGTAGCAACTCAATTATCTAGCCTGGCCCAGAGGAGGAGTTTTGTGTTGCATAAATTGTGAGTTCTGTGTGCCAGTAAATCAGTCTTGTTCCAGCATTAAGCCTTGGCTCATGTTTGGGGGAAGGGATACCTACACTCTGGGGATTGCTATAATCACTTACTCCCCAGAGGAAGCTCTTGCAATAGCCTGATTTGTTCCTGTTCCTGCTCTCTGGGGAAAGAGAGGTTCACCCACTGGAAGCTGGATCCTGGCCTTGGGTCCAGGGTGGGGGGAAACAGCAGAGACCCCGGCGCAGTTGCATTGCTGGAAGTGGGGTCTGCAGTGCTGATGGTGTCGGTTGGAGTGCTTGGGGTCCTCAGCGAGCACTAGGAGCATCGATTGGCGGAGGTACTCAGTCGGAGTGCCAGCGTTCCGTCACACCACTAGTCACAATTTCATTTATTATGTGAGACACAATTCCTGTACAATCCTAATGCATTTTTTAATATCACTTTCTTAATCCATAATAATTATTTGTTTATTTTTATAGTTGAAAGCTTTACCTGGTTGGTGGATGGTACTGCGTCTCAGCAAGTGGAAACGTTTCTCACCGAAAAGCACAACTTTGAGGAATACACAGCAGTACGTATGAACAATGATTCATTAGCAAACAATTAAACATAATGTTTAAAAAATAAAAAAATTAAAAAAAATCATTTTTATTTGGCCCCCTTAAATAAACGGCCATGTTATTTTTATAAACACACATTTTCTGATAGTTCTTGTTGCGCTTCTACTTGCGGCATTGAAATGGAGATCTTGCTGACCCTGCCTGTAAATACCATGGCAATTGGCAAGGAAGTATAGAACTTAACATAAAATATAATTGTAAGAGAAAAAAGGATCTTGATGAGATTTTTATTAAAGCCTCAGTAAAGGCACTTTGATTTGCTATATTATGCCTGGAGCACATTGAGCAGATTCTCTGATTACTAAGAATGGCCTATACTGGCAGCAGTTTGTAGAACTTGCTGTTGCTATGAAACAGGACTGTCGGGACTCTCAGTCACGTACCCAGCATCACATAGTTCCCGATCTCTCGTATCTATTTCATCCATATTACACATGTGGTGTATGCACAATAGGTAAGGATGTTAACCCTCTGGCATAGAGAGCTGATCCTCTGCGCTTTCCAGATAGCAAAACACAACCTGATTCACTAGACATTAGGCATGTGCATGGGGAAAATCAGAGTGCTCTGTGTCATTTTACACAGCGTGGGAAAGTTCTTTGGAATTTTCCCACGCTGTGTAATTTGACTAATAACTCTCTGGTTACTTTCAATCCACCAATCAGAGAGTTATGAGTCAAATTACACAGCGTGGGAAAATTCCAAGGAACTTTCCCACGCTGTGTAAAATGACACAGAGCACTCTGGTGGATTTCAAGCCAACCAATCAGAGTGCTGTGACAGGTAAATGTAGAGACTTACCTTAAGCCCACCAATCAGAGTGCTCTGAGCCCAATTGCAGGGTGGGGCAAGGCTTTACAAGCCTTCCCCTGCCCTGCAGAGCTCAGTCTGCGCGGAGCCCTCCATGATGGGTGAAGAATGATTTTAAAAAAAATTAATTTTTAAGTGCGGCGGTTATTATGGATTTTTTATTTGGCCTTTTTGTGGGCTGAAAAGAGAAGATTTTAGAAGAAAGAAAACATCAAATTTTTTTTTTTACAGGTACTTAGTTAATGGTCCCCCCCTCATTATTTTTAGGGTGAGGGGGGTAGGTAGGGGTTAGTTTTTTTTGAGGAGGGGGGTGACTAGGGGTTTGGGTCCCCTAGTCACCTGGGGGAGGGGGGGTTAATTTTTTTATTTAGGACCCCCACCTGCCGCTCAGGGGTGGGGGCCAGGGGGAGGACATTAGGTCCCCCCGCTTATTAGTATTTAGGGCCCCCACCCACCGCTCAGGGTTCGGGGTTCGGGGGGGAAGACAATAGGTTCCCCCCCTTATTCTAATTTAGGGCCCCCACCCACCACTCAGGGTTGGGGGTTGGGGGGGGAGGACATTAGGTCCCCCCCAATTGGTATTTAGGGCCCCCACCCATTCAGGGGTGGGGGCCAGGGTGGAGGACATTAGTCCCCCCCCTCTTATTATAATTTAGGGCCCCCACCGCTCAAGAAGGGGGGCCAGGGGGAAAGACATTAGGCCCCCCCCCTATTCTGATTTAGGGCCAGGGGGAGGACAATAGGTCCCCCCCCCATTATTTTACTTTAGGGCCCCCACCCGCCGCTCAGGGTTGGAGGCCGGGGGGGGGGCAATATAGCCATAGGCTGCTCACTGTTTAATAGACATGCCCCTACTCGCGGTATACCGAGTAGGGGCATAATTTACTAATACTAAGTAATCTTTACTTAGTATTAGTAAATTCGGCTGAAAGAGCAATTTAGGTCTTTCAGCCTTTTAGTAGATAGCTCTTTAGTAGATAGAATTAGGGAGTTATCTACTTATTCATTCCCTTCATTACATTTACCGGGCAATTAACTTACATTTTGAATGTTACTTGATTGTTGTAAGTGTTGCAAATGCTTACAGCTGAATAGTGGCTACGTTTGTATACTTTTTATTTAACATTGTATACAATGTAACATTCTTCATTCTTCCACTGGGTAAGTATATTAGTTCTTAGGCAATACTGTGCTTCGGAAATTCGGCAATTCATCTATTCGGACATTCGGGTACTTGCCCGAAATTCATGAAACGAAACGAATTGCACGTCTACTAGACACTGAACTGGGCTGTGTATTAACCGATAGCAACCACAGTATGACTGTTAGTCGTTTATAATGCAGCTCCAATTATCCTTTGTTGTTATTGGTACTGCTCCTTGGGGATAAATTGTTTATCTCATAATTCCCTGATGGACAGGTATTTCGGGGATAAGATCTGTCCTCAACGACCACTATGATTGGATTATCTCATCCTGCACCGAGAGGCACTTGGAACAGTAAATCATTAGTGATGTCCCGAACGGTTCGCTGGCGAATAGTTTCTGGCGAACATCGCATGTTCGCGTTCGCCGCAGATGGCGAACATATGCGATGTTCGGTCCGCCCCTAAACACAAATAGGGGGGGGACCTAATGTCCTCCCTCCTGGCCCCCGACCCTGTGCGGCGTTTTTTTCACCAGTATTTTTAAAATAAATGTCATATTTTACATAGTGAATTCCTGTAAAGTATTGTTTTTTTTTTTTCTTGAAGCTTATTGAGCAGTTTCATAGCCTTGCCAAAAGCATCGCTAGTTTGCCAAGATGGGCACATTTTACTATGATTGAATTGGACTGTGATGATCTGAAGTCAGGTTTGGCTGATAAAGCTAAAAGCTATGCACGGTTTTTACTTGAGGTACTGACAACCAAGCACAGAAAAGAAAATGAAAGGTAAGTGGAACTTCGGATTTGCTACTTTTTAAGAGTGCATATATATATGTGTGTGTTATACAAAAAATGGCATGCACATGCAATTGGATCTAGATTACTGTATATCAAACTATAATTTTCCTCTAGGGGTTTTCTTGCTGAAATTGATAGTCTTCTTTTATTTAATTATTTATAACCATTGCATAGATAATGTATTACATATATGAAAACAACCAAGCCAAATAATACAAGATAAACAAATTGAAATATGCCTTTAAAGTTGCTTCTTTTATGCAATTTCCAACCCAATGCATCATTAGCATTGAGATTTGCCTAAAAACTGAAATTAGCTTGGTTGGAATCAATCTAGTGCAGTGTTTCCCAAACTAGTCCTCAAGACCCAGCAACAGTCCAGGTTTTGTCACTATCTCAATTGGAATAAAACAGGGAAATACATAAATCCTGGATTGTTGGTGGGCCATGAGTACTGGATTGGGAACCACTGTTCTAGTGCATAGACTTGTTTATCTAGCAACTGAAATGGTTAAAGTGTAAAAGGAAAGGACTGAGTAGCAAATTCCAACGCCCTCTGTGCATGGTTCTGCTCAGGGCAGTGTTTTTTTGGGGATTTGTAGTTCACATATCAGCTTTCTACTTCTGAAGAAGCTAAATCCTTCTTCTGGCATCTTCTAACTGAAGAGTCCCTGCAAGTTACTGTAATGAAAACGTATAAATAAAATAGCCCTGTTATTACATGTCCAAAGATTCATTAAGATCCATAGTGCTTTTTTTTTTTTTTTTTTAACAATCCAACTATATGGTCTACATAGTCATACTAAGCTTGTAGTTCCTTGTCATTTAAATGTAAAATATTAGCTAAGCTACATGAGTTGTATTTGTTCATGGCCTCATCAGCTCACCATTTTAGTGCCTAAAGACGCAAGCATGCACATACTACAATTAATTTTTGATGACCCAACAAATATTCTGCATTCTCATTAGACAATTCAAATAAAAACTTATCTTCCTTTACAGAATCTGCACGGAGTTTGAGATGATTAAAGAACATGCATTAAGGGCCCCTGTAACCACAGAGGATGTGATTGAAGCCATAGATTTTGTTGAGCAAGTTAAGACCAAAGGTCTTGTGGCACTAAAAGCTCAGATTGCTGTAAGTTAGCTGAACTCGTATTTATGCTGTCTACGAAATGATAATGAAATATAAACACATCTGTGCTATTCCTACTGTGTTATGTTGATTATAGGTAATAAAGCTTGTGTATGTGAGAATGTCGGTGTTACACTGACTGGCTGGAATAAAAGTGTCTGGCTAATTTCACAGTTTAATGACAGGTATACCAGGATTCAAGATTGAACACAATGGAGGGATTAGAATATAGGAAGAGGAATGGGAAAAGTATTGCTTGTCAGAGAAATAAGAGAGTGATGAGAGGCAGAGATGTGGGATTCAGTGATGCTGGTAGGTAATGGAGCAGATTGAGGGCAAGATCCAGATCTATATTAATGAATCTATTTAACTCTATGCATGTCCCATTCCTATACCAGAGATGGCTAGCAGACAGGTGAGGAAGATGTGATTTGAGGGGGAGAAGGGGACCTGTTGGAGTCATCTTTTTTGATTCCTTTTGTTTGGGTACAACATTTCCCATGACACTTATACTATGTTTACTTCATAAACACCTGCAGTGTTGAATTTAGCAACCCTTCATCTTAAAGTTCCACTTCTACCGCTCTCACTTTATGAGTATTTCATAGAGATTAAACCTTTATGAAATACTAATGTTGACTGTGTTGGAATTTAATTAAAATTCTAGTGCTAACAAAAGCTGTCATAAGACAAGTCAGGATTACTCTGTCTTAAAGGACCACTCTAGGCACCCAGACCACTTCAGCTTAATGAAGTGGTCTGGGTGCCAGGTCCAGCTAGGGTTAACCCTTTTTTTAATAAACATAGCCGTTTCAGAGAAACTGCTATGTTTATGAATGGGTTAAGCCTTTCCCCTATTTCCTCTAGTGGCTGTCTCGTTGACAGCCGCTAGAGGCGCTTGCGTGCTTCTCACTATGCGACCGGCTTGCCGCGCGTGCGCATTCAGCCCAGGAGGAGGAACGGAGGAGGAGAGATGGAGGAGAGAAGGAGGAGAGCTCTCCGCCCAGAGCTGGAAAAGGTAAGTTTTAACCCCTTTCCCCCTTCCAGAGCCGAGCGGGAGGGGGATCCTGAGGGTGGGGGCACCCTCAGGGCACTATAGTGCCAGGAAAACAAGTATGTTTTCCTGGCACTATAGTGGTCCTTTAATGGCAAAGTTCAGATTGGCAAAAGTTGATGAAAGACAGAATGTCTGCTGTCAACTTCTGTCAATTTCCGTATCATCAGCGAGAGTACACCAGTGAAGTAGACTCCTGATGATTGAAGTCCAGGAGCTGACAAAGGGATAGATTCAGATAAGTTCAGACCCTTAAGGTTCAACCTCAGGCCACTGCACACAAAGCAGGGATGTCACCTTAGGGGATATTTGCAAAATATGACAGAGACACATAAAGTATACATAGTTACATAGCTGAAAAGAGACTTGCGTCCATCAAGTTCAGCCTTCCTCACAAATGTTGTTGCTGTTGATCCAAAAGAAGGCAAAAAACCTGGTCTGAAGCGCTTCCAATTTTGCCACAAACTAGGAAAAAATTCCTTCTTGACCCCAAAATAGCAGTCAGATGTCTCCTTGGATCAAGCAGCTACTACCCCACTAATTAGAAATGATATCCCTGTATGTTATGTTTTTTGGAAGTATTTATCTTGTTGCTTTTTAAACATCTGTATGCACTCTGATAAATCCACCTCTTCAGGCAGAGAATTCCATATCCTTATAGTTCTTACTGTAAAAAAAACTTTTCTTTGCCTTAGATGAAATCTCCTTTCTTCCAGCCTAAATGTGTGACCTCGTGTCCTATGTATAGCCCTGTTTATGAATAGATTTCCAGATAATGGTTGGTATTGGTCCCAGATATATTTGTATAATGTTATCATATCCCCTCTTAGGTGCCGAAACTAAAGAGATTAAAAATGTTTAACCTTTCTTCGTTACTATAATGCTCCATTCCTTTTATCAATTTTGTAGCTCGTCTCTGTTTAATGTGCTTCTTATTCTGAGTCTCTCGTTTTGTAGATTGGGCATAACTTATTTTCCTTTTACAGGAGAGCAAGCAGAGAATGGATTATCTTTTAGATGTTTTTATGTTTACCTCTGAAGACTTAGCCCTGAATGCAACTGTACTATTGTGGCCTAAGAAATTAAATCCTGTCTTTGACGAAAATGACGAGGTAAAACACTTTTTTATGGCTCTTTTATCTTTCCTTGTATTCTCTTTTTCTTCATTAGAGGTGCTTCTTTTTTATTTTCTGGCTTGTTATATTTTGAGAATTTGAGAGTAACTCTTTATTGCTCTATGTTTATATACCATGGTTCAATATCTGGTACATTATACTGTTTCAGTTATTTATTTATTTATTTTTTTAAAAAAGGACAAAAAATAGCTAAATAATGCAATACTTATAATATATCACTAATACAACACTATTAAATAATGTTCACTTATTTGATGCAGGACTTGCATAATAAAATGACTCTTCTGTTTGTTCATAGCTGATTGAAAAAGCCAAGCGTAAAGGAGAGAGTTTGTTAACAGGGAAAAGGGAGAAATTAATGCTGGAATTGGAGAAACTTTCACGTCGGATGGAAGAATTTGGTGAATGTTCTGAACTGAATATGGTCCATCAGGTAATTGCATAATTTCAGAGATATATAATAATACTTTTTATAAATGATATTTTAACCCTATTGGTTTAACTAGTGAACATTTATGTACGGTAGGCAATAGTATATATTTAAATAAAGAGACCACACAATGAAAAGAGACACAAATTGTTCAATTTTAATGGACTGGGCAACTGATTCCTTCCTATTAAGCTTCATCACATCTTAACCCCACTATGAACGCTATAATTACCAACACACACATATATATCCCACAGTGGAAAAAGCCTGTGGCTACTATTATTATTATTTTTTAAAGCTCCAACAAGTTCCATAGCGCTGTACAATGGGTGGCCGAACAGACATGTATTTGTAACCAGACGAGTTGGACGCAGAGGGACTTAGGGCCCTGCTCAATCAGTTTACATGCTAGAGAGAGTGGGGTATATTGACACAAAAGGTAAGGATAGGGTAGAAAAGTAGGTTGCTACGATAGTGTTATTTGATGGCTTAGTGTTTTGATGACCGTTGCAGGAGAGGAATCAGGGTACGGGGAGGGAAGCTGTTCAGTTACAGAGCTCTTCAACTTGCAGATAGAAATTGGCACCTTATACCTGGGACCAGGAACCCACCTGGCTGTCACTCTGTTTTTTTTTAGTGTTATTCATTAAAATGAGAATTGTCAGGATTTCAAATCAAAGGCTAAAGCGGCCGATCTGAAAGCAAAGCTGACTTTTTCTTTCCAGTTCAGCTATTTTGGCTTTGAATTTGCGACAATTTCACTTTAGTAAATAAAATGTAATAATGGACTGACACTCATTGGAAGAAGCTAGCTCTATATATAATACAATGTACATTTGCTTCAGCAGTGCTCTTTGTAATTGAAAGTTATTAACTCATTTCTGGTTAGACAGGCTTTATAGAATGTGATCACATTCTTTTTTTAACACTATCTGGTCTTTTAAGAATTGAATATCCTACACATTTTGCTACATTTTAAAGAACAGAATGTATTTCTAATATGTTTCTATCCTAACACCAGAGTGGAATGTTCTATGTATTTCACATTTGTAGAACGTTATCAAATAGAATGCCTTATTCAGTCTCTATTAGCTAAGCTTTAAAGAATTAAATATTATTCACACAGGCTTCCTAAAAGTTACTATGACACTCCATGCTTGGTCCGGGTCTAATAGGACTAGATCTTATGGTTTCCATGAATGGAACGGTGTGCTGTTAAAGGGGTAGCAGTACTTGTATAATTCGTAAGCCTTTGAGGTATATTTTTGAGGCAACCATACTTGGTTTTGCAAAAATGGATATTGTTAATAATAGCTGTAATCAATTTCTTCACCTTTCAGTATGTAACAGACATGAGGACAGTGCAAAAGCGCATTACAGATTCTGAGGAGACCATCACATTTATCAATAAAGAAGAAGCTCTGTATAAATGGGACCTGACAAGTTATCCTGAGCTGGATTCTTTAAAAGCAAACATTGAGCCATATCAGAAAATCTTCAATTTAATCTATAAATGGCAGAGGACTGAGAAGAGGTGTGTGTGTGTGTATGTGTGTGTGTATATATATATATATATATGTTTGTGTGTATATATATATATATATATATATATATATATATATATATATATATATATATATATATACTAAACGGTATGCTTTTTCATCAACACTAATGATCTAATATATATAATAATAAAATCTGCTATTATTTCATTAATTCCCAGATGGATGGACGGAGCCTTTCTTGACTTAAACGGAGAGAGCATGGAAGCAGAGGTCGACGAGTTTTTTCGCGAAGTGTATAAGGCGATGAAATTTTTTCAGCAGAAGCAGAAGAAGGCTGAAGAAGAAAAGAAAAAGGCAGCTCCTCAGCGGACGCTCACCGACGAGAGGGTGGAAGAAGAGAAGAAAGAAAGCAGTACGGTTCAGATGTGTTCAGCAGTGATGGAGCAGATAAAGGAGTTTAAGGTTTGAGAGAAATGTTTTCTTTTCATTTAAAAATAATCTGTCATGAGAAATGTGATTTACTATTTATTTAAATGCATGGCAATGTCTACTATTTCAGTGTTTGTAACTGCAATAAATATCTTGTTTGTATTTGTCAGGGTACCTCGTGTGGTTGCCCAGACTGTGCCACAACCAGGGGACATGCTGCATGTTGAGAGGGACCTTTCCCCATGTCCTTCTCTTCTCTGCAGTGATTTTCACAACAGCCGCAATAGCCCTGCACCTTTGTATGACGCACTGACGTCATGACGTTAGTAACGTCACGGCCCGCCAAAACATTTGAATTTGACCGTTTTGGGGGCGTGGCTACAAAGTTAAAGAGCCACATTATAAAAAGGGCTCTTGGGTCATAAGTCATTGCCCTGTTGTGTTTCAAGTATTTTTCCAAATAGCACGTGATATTTATTGAGTATTCTGACTTTGGCTTTGATTTATCTACCTTCTATTCTCCTTTGACTCAGCTTTTGTATTTTCAATATTCCTGATTTCTGGCTTCCCTGACCTTGGCTTGTCTCTGACTACTCTCTGTCTTTGTAACGTTAGCCCGACCACTCTAAGGTCCGGTATACGTTATCTATTCTATTACACTCTACATGTTGGATCTCTATATATTCCTGAGGAACACTCCAGTGTTAGAAATTAATACATTATTGTTTTTGTTTTAGATTTAGGGGCAGCCACTGTTTCTTTAAAATGAAAAGTTACTCTAATGTAAAGGCAAAGCCATCTCCTTGCCACAGCTCATCTCCTCCCCAGAGCCAATCCTTAGCTTCTGGGACACTGGGTGCATGCAATCTCTATAATCTACCAGCAATGATTCTCATTGAATCTAGTGTTTCTCCATGAGTAAGCACTCAAAGAAAGCAGCCTTTCTTGCTGTCTGCTTGTTACCAAGGGGACTTATAAAAGTGCTGATTTCTACTGAATCTTATAAATACTATAAAATATAGTATAGTATAGTATATAAAAACTATATAGACTTATAAGATAAGACAAATGAGCTGATATGCTTTAGGAAATTGGAGTGTTCTTTTAAAGGGATCACCTGTGCACTATGTTTACTAACAAACAAACGGTTGACTGTCTTGGATTGAGTATTCAAGGTCACGGTGCTTGATCGTAAGTATATTGAACTATGAGAGCATGAGACTAAAATCAAAATTATATTTACATTTATTCAGAATAATTTAAATTAATGTTATGTTTCACTCTCTGATAGGGAGATTGGGAGCTGTAGGACCAAAATATATCATGGATATTTTTAAAACAGCAAAGATCTTGACTCGTGAAGAGTCATCCTCCACACTCAGGAAAGGAAAAAACCTCCTGTGGAAGAAACCTCTGGGGAACTATGGCTTGAAGGACTGCCCTACCCTCTGAGCATTAATTGGCAAATATAGAGAGTTCATTAGTAGTAGGGATTACCCTTTTTATGAATTATCAGGACTGGACAAATAGTTGGTGGTCTTGCAACTGAATGTTCATGGAGTTTTCATATCAGAAACAAGATATTTTTAATAACTAAAACTATATTACCCCTACCCTCCTCTTCCTTTTGAGACAGTTATCCTTTGGGAGGCATGCTTTTACTAGCCAGCCACATCTTCCATCACAGCTTTCTCACCCAGTTATTCAAGTGTCTTTTCTCTGTTTTCATGAAGTCACATATCTTGTCCCGAGCCCTCCCTTTATTTTATGTCAGCCACATCTCATACCCATATCAAAGTTACAGGGGGTGGAATGCCTGTTGCCTAACACCCAGAAATGTAGTTTCGGGAGCCAGGCAGGCAGTGTTTTTTTCAGAGTCTAGCCCTGCTGTGGGCAAGCAACATGACTGTTACAGAAGGTGTGAGGTGGTTAGTGCTAGGACAGGGAGTGTGCGGTCTGCACCGCCTAGGGGTCCAGATCACAGTCTACTCCCTTGCTATCTGACTCTCATTAATGTATCAGAGTGCAGCTGCTGGGATTCCTAGCCCGGTGAGTCCCTACTTAGTTTTCCAACTTGTTTTAGATCATCTTATGCTGTTAAAGAGATCTTTCTACAGTAAACTTATTTTTCACACCATAAAATGCATATTTGTTAAATATAGGATAGAAGTAACTATAGAAACCCTGGGAAGTGACAGTTCTCCTTGAAGAATCCACAAAATCAAATTATTTGTGCTTGCATTTAGTACTGTAAAAAAAAGACTTTGAAATTCTTCTTTGAGTAAATAAGTTAAATAAATTGCATTCCATGTTCTTCTCCCCTGTAGGAATACATCCCGTTGGTGAGCATCCTTTGTAATCCAGGAATCCGAGCCCGTCACTGGCGTCAAATTTCAGAGATCGTAGAATATGACCTAACTCCAGATTCTGGAACCACTTTAAGGAAGGTTTTGAAGCAAAATCTAACTCCATATCTAGATAAATTTGAGCAAATTAGTGCAGCAGCTAGCAAGGTAAGAGGGATTGATGGGGTAAAATATGTGTGTAACAATCATTAGCTACACCTAATAATGGCAAACTGCTGTGCACCAATAATGTTAAAACATGGGAATGGATTCATAAATGGTTTGGCAATTTCACATCTCCTGTTTTAGGAGACAGGGATTGGGTTTATCTGAGCAGGAAGGGGTTAGAGCCTCTTGATTAAATTTGTTTTATCTCAAATGAATACATAGGGGTTACGTGGTAAAAGACTTGTGCTGTAAAAGGAATGACTGAACTTTGGACAATCCTCCTCTAATTAATTACATCTGTCACTTCACTGTAATTCTCAGAAAATGCACTTTGAATCTTTGAGTCTCTTGGGTGAATGAGCCATGTCGACACTTCTGATGGTGATTCACTGAATTAAATAGGGTCTCCGTATTCTAATATTCATAAAAATTTATTAATTTTATTCTTCAAATAACATACTTATTGTTTCTTTCAACAAATGTGTATCATTTAGCTCTCTCTTCCGACATTGAACACTTCCATAATATTGGCCATCCAAATAATTAAAAATAGCTTTTATTAAAGTTTTATTTGTCAAACAGTAGATATTAGATATCCTGTCATTGTGTTTAATCACATTGTAGCGGAGAGGTAGTATAATCCACAGTATCTCCGCTGGGTAACAGGAACAGCATAGAATAATCCAAGGAAATAAAAACAGCATACAATAATCCCGGAAGCGTTATAAGAATCCTTCCTTCCCAAGAACTAGACAACACATAGGCTGGGAGTCAACTGAGCTTTTAATCACAGGTCACTGTATTTATGTAATTCCCCATGCAAGGGGTTTCCCTACTGACATTCCAGGGATGGTACAGTAGGGGACTACATGGGGAACTGACCAATACATACATTTCTCCCATCATGCACTGCTGGACGAGAGGGATACTCTCACTGGAATATACCGTTAAGTGGATTATCCCTCCGTGCAGCAGAACTTACATTTAACATTAAAATACATAACTTTCTTTATATTCACTGTATTTAAACGAATGGACGTTCGGTAGATAGCTGGAGGCTGAGCGCACAGTTCGTGGGAATACCGCTCAGCTCCCAGTCTAACTAACCGAACACCGTACGAAATACACATTATTTCCAACACACTGTTAAAATAGCGATTGATATTAGGGGAACAAACTACCGAATGCTCGGGGCTCCCGAACGGCCTGGAAGTCCAGCGGTGTTCGCACCGTCGAGTAGCCGATTTTAGTTCCAGGCGCTCGACAGCAAAACACCGCTGGGCTAACAAAGGATCCAAGATGGCCGACTGCCGCGTGGTCGGTAGCCGAACGACGGCCACCTAGGGAAGCCTTTAACTACCGATTGCAACAATGTTGCAATCATTAATGGGCGCCACACGACCTCTTGTGTGTGGTCGACCATTCGGTAGTTTATTCGTTTCACGAACAGTGTTGAAACTCACTGTTCGTGATACTACAGTATGAATGCTGGGGTTTCACGCCGCCAGCATACGAATGCCCTTCATTCGCCTGAAATTAAAATATAGCAATACACTTGGTTCTCACAGCTGAAACAGGGATATAAATTTTTTTTTATATGATGTGTGTTTTGCCACACACATCATTTTTTTTTTCTACTCTCAAAACCCTGCAAATCGGGTATTTTTTGCAGCATAAATGATTTTAGAGTGTCCTACAATGTGTATCTTATCAGTACACTATTTGCTACTTATGCTCCATTAACAAACAGATAGAGATTATGATGGCAGAACCAACTGGATAATGAAGAAACCTCTGATTCTATTACTAGTTCTTTATCAACATAATTTACATTGTTCAATTGTATTTTTGTGTCCGTTTCTTTTTTATTATTTCCACTGGAAAGATATTCCAGTTCTCTGTGACCCTTTCTGAGAAATATGTAGCAGATTTATGATGCTTTGAAATGTATGATCTTCAATCAATCAAGAGGTTGTAGCAAAACGAACAGGTCAGCAGCATAAAGAAAGTTTTGACTGACAAATTTTTTTTGCCAACAGGAATTCTCTCTTGAGAAGGGGATGCATACGATGCAAGAGAGTTGGGATAACATTTCATTTAACACCAATGCCTATCGAGATTCTGGAGTGTCAATCTTGTCGGCAGTGGATGAGATTCAGACCACGCTTGATGACCAGATCATAAAGACTCAAACAATGAGAAGCTCCCCGTTTATCAAACCATATGAGAAAGAAATAAAGGTAGATGTAGTAAAGATTTGATATCCACATAAACATTTTTTCACAGAACATAACTTACTCTTTTATAATTTATTTTCTTGCACAATGCATTTTATTATATATTTACATAGAACCTTTTAAACCTTTCTGTTAGGTAAGTTGAAATCACATTGCAATCACCATTGCCTCTTTAATGCAGCCAATGTGATCATTTTAATCAAATGTTCCAATTGTTTTCACATTTTATTGAATGTTAACAGTCAGATGACGTTGTTCACTAAGCCAGAATAATTGGGAATTGGCTAGCAAATTAAACATTTTTTATGATAACTGCATAAAATAGCTAAAATGGAGAATATTTATATATCCATAATTTTTGCCTAAAATCTGTGATTCTCAAAAATTCTCAACAACTTTAGAGTTTAGTGAGTAAACCTCAGCATTTTATAAACCTCTTGTTTTAAACTGTGTTTTTAAGCAATGGGAGGAAAGGCTGATACATGTCCAAGACACCATTGATGAATGGCTGAAGGTGCAAGCTCAGTGGCTTTATTTGGATCCCATCTTCTCCTCAGAGGACATCATGCAGCAAATGCCTGAAGAAGGACGTCTCTTTCAAACAGTGGACCGAAACTGGAAAGAAATCATGAAACATTGTGTAAAGGACCCCAAGGTAAAAATGATTTCACTGTGTAGGTCCAACAATGACTCTTTCTACATTCTACGGCTTAAATCAACCTTAAATCCAATAGGTTACTTACATAAAACACTAAATGCCACAAACTTAAAGAGACAAAAAAAAATAATCTTTAAACAACTTTGAAATATGATACGTGTGTAGGAAGCAAGGGGGGTGGAAATTTGGTTAAAAACATATTACTGGGATTACTATACAAGGCTGCCCCCTACCAACCCTCCTGAGATTTTCTTTGGTACCTTTGCCAATCTATATGTGACAGGACAGTGCACGATTGGGTGATATTATCTTCTTTGTTTTCAATATTGAAAGCCATTGTAAATTGTACTTTACATTAAGCATTTTGTTTATTTGTATTCCAGGTTTTAAGTGCAACCTCTATGACGGGGCTTTTGGAAAAACTACAAGATAGCAATATGCTCCTTGATAAAATCATGAAAGGACTCAATGCCTATCTGGAAAAAAAGAGACTATTCTTCCCACGGTACAGTTTGTCCCTTTTTAGATTAGTGCCTAGTTTTATCAGATCAAAAGACGAAAAGAAGAACAGCGCTACTTAAAAAAGCCATTATGGGCCTGGGCTTATAATATCTTCTCCGAAATATCTTTGAATGAGGTATCATTTAAAGATATAAATAAAAATCCAGCTTCGGCCCTCCTCCACTTGAACTGGCCTTTTAAATCAAGTAAACATATTTGTTTAGCTATTCACTGCTTTATTGCAGCTAAAATTATCATAGCGAGACAGTGGAAATCTTCTGATCCTTTTCAGAAAAGTTCCTTAATTAATCAAATTAAATTCCAACGGACAATGGAAAATGATATGGGTAAAAACTGGTCAGTGGTCTCCAAAAAAAGAGACTGGTATTCAATTTGTCTAAAAAAATTGTTCTCTACTCTATGGTAACTCATAAATCTCTCAGGTGACGTGGTTATGGAAGATGTAATTCTGTTTGGTTAGCGGAATTTATCTTATGGATAACATGTATCTAAATTTGCGTTTACTTCCATTGATATACTTCTCACTATTTTTCTATAGACTCTTGTTTATCCCATATTAATGACTTCCTGTTTTCTGTTATGTATTTTTTTTTTTTTCTGGCCGATTGATTGATATATTTTAATGAATGTATTCTCTCTACATAAAATGATTTATTTACATCAATCGGATGCATTTTGTATGACTGTATGTATTTTTTGAATTGTCTTGTAACCCAAAAACTAAATTTCTTAATAAAAAGTAATAAAAAAAATAAAAATAAAAAAAAATAAAAAAGCTGTGTGCATGAAAATGCTACAGTACAGTTTTATTTAAAGGACACTGATGAAAATAACAAACGTTTCAGGTTTCAACCCTTCATCAGTGCAAAATGCCCTTTTTTGTTATTTTCACCTGTGTCCTTCAAATAAACATGCACTGTAGCACTTTTGTGCACACAACATATCTAAGTAGCGCTGCTCTCCTTTTTGTCTAATATCTTTTTTATATTGTTTTTGCTCTTCCCTAAGCAACAAGGGCTTAAGGTGACAGCAGCAATCTTATTCCTGTCCTCATTTTATTCCTGTCCTCATTTAACATTGTGGCCACATAATTTTATCTGATAACTTAATATTATCATATAACATAGAATGCATGTACAATATCGGACATATTGTGGTTATTGTTGTGATATACCTATTGAGTTTGATAGTGGTTTCTCTCTGTAAAGACCAACAAATGCATTCATACAATAGCTAACGATCTTCCTACATCCATTTTTTTAAATATTGTAATCTGTCATAGGTGGTTAAAAAAATCCCCTCAATTATTTATACAAATATTTATAGTATAATGTGTTACATTTTTCATTACAGCTTTTTCTTTTTATCAAATGACGAAATGCTGGAAATACTGTCAGAGACTAAGGATCCCCTGCGGGTTCAACCACATTTAAAGAAGTGCTTTGAAGGCATTGCTAAATTGGAATTCCTTCCCAATTTGGACATTAAATCCATGTATAGTGCAGAAGGGGAGAGAGTGGAGCTAATTCAAACAATCTCCACATCTGAAGCCCGTGGTGCAGTGGAAAAATGGCTTATTCAAGTGGAGGATGTTATGCTGCGTAGCATACATGACGTTATTGCAAAGTCGAGATTGGTAAGATCTTTATTTCCATGGACATTAGTTAGAATACATACACAATAACATGAATTAAGCCACTTGGAATCAGCTAGCTATAATGAAATATTCTGTTACAGTTGGAAATTACTCTTGTTGTATTATGGCAAAAGCAATGCCTTCTATGATGGCAATCATGGCTTTACAACAAAAAAGCTTGTATGCCCGAAAAGATTTTCCCAAATTTTAAGTAATATTCCTCTCAGAAGGGAAACCATTTTATGTTCAGACTTCAATTTTTGTTGTGTCATATCTCAACTTCCTTTTTAAAAGAAGACCGCTGATTCCATCATCTTTCATAAAAATGTACGTCATTTTAAAGATAAATAAATGTGACAATATCAACAACAATAAGAAAAACAGTCTGTTCCCTTTTCTCTATTGCAGGGGTTCCTAATTAATATTTCCTGTGGAACCCTTTGACATAGTGTATCAACATCGTGAAACCCCCCAACCCAAAGGAAAAAAATAAAATTGCACCGTTTTTTGTATGTGCCAATTTGTGTATCTGTGTATCTGTGTGTGTATATCTATCTGACACACAGATACACATACACAATGGCACATAGTGGCACACAGATACACACACCTTGACACAGTGTGTATGTGTGTGAGTGTGTGTGTGTGTGTGTGTATGTATCTATCTGTGTGTCAAGGTGTGTGTATCTGTGTGTCAAGGTGTGTGTATCTGTGTGTCAAGGTGTGTGTATCTGTGTGTCAAAGTGTGTGGATCTGTGTTTGTATGTGTCTGTGTATCAAGGTGTTTGTATGTGCCAGTGTGTATAAATCTGACACACACTGGCACATAGTGGCACACAGATACACACACTGACATAGATACACACACCTTGACACACAGTGTGTATCTGTGTGTGTGTGTATGTATCTGTGTGTCAAGGTGTGTGTATCTAGGTGTCAAAGTTTGTGTATCTGTGTTTGTATGTGCCAGTGTGTTAAGGTGTGTATGTCTGTGTTCGTATGTGCCAGTGTATGTATCTCTGTGTCAGTGTGTATCTGTGTGTGTGCGTATATGTATCTGACACACAGATACACACACACACACACACTGGCACATAGTGTCACACAGATACACACACTCCGATGCACAATAGCACACAGACACACACATCTTGACTCACAAATACACACACAGTGATACATTCACACACTTGCACCCACAGATACACACATTGACACATACACACATTGTCATACACACACACACTGACACACTCAGATACACACACACTGACATACACAAACACACACATAGGCACATACAAACAGACTGATATACAGTGACACATACACAAACCTTGACACATAGACACACTGAGATACCCATACTCTTTGAAAGACACACATACAATCTCACTGACAAACACACATACTCTTTTACAGACACACATGCAAAGACATACACTCTCACTGACAAGCACACATACATTCTCACTGACAAACACATACACACTCACACACTCACTGACAAGCACACATACACTTTCACTGACAAACACAAATATACTCTTTGACAGACCCACAAACACATACAAACTTCCAGCAGACGCACATGCATTTTTTTTTATTTTACTCCACCCAGCCCCCTACCTTTAGGAGTGCTTGCATGGAGTCTCTATGTCCCTGTGGTCCAGTGGGGCTGCTGAGCAGCTGGCGTGCGAGGGAGCAGTGATCTTCCGGATCACTGCTGTGCACGTGACCATTTTGTTTTTAGACATTTTGGCGGAACACCAATTGGGAAACGCTGCTCTGTTATATTTTTGCTTATCTTGTTGAGGGTTTTTGGAATTCAGTGGGTCTTTTAAAACTACTCTTTATGTATATTTTTAAAAGAAATGTATTCTCTTTATCAAATAAAGGCCTATCCTGAAACGCCAAGAAAAGTGTGGGTGAGAGATTGGCCTGGGCAGGTTGTGCTTTGTGTCTCCCAAATGTACTGGACAAGTGAGGTTCATGAAGCAATACGCAGTGGACCAGAGGTATGGCCTTCCTTTACTGGAGAAGAAATTATTTGTTTCAGTCTAGGGTACACTATTATAACCAACTTGCAGGCACAGGTATATTACAACACAGATGTTGGGATAGACACAATACATCAAAAAATACTACAAAGGTGAAGTCAGGTTAAAATCCAATACAACAAATGAAGTATGACAGACATAAAACAGCAAAGGAGGAGGCATAAACATAACACATCAAAGAGGACAGACATAATACTGCAAAGTGTCAAGGCGGGTGCATCTCAATGCACGAACCTAAGGCATAAAGTATACAACTGAAATAAAACAGATTACCAGTCCTTAGAGTGGCCGAGCTTATCATAGCATAGTATAGAAAACGGTCTGACAACAGACAAAGAATAAACAGGGACAAGAATTGGTCAAGGAGTATAGAAATACGGATAAGCAAGATAATACAGCCAAGGTCTAGGATTGTAGAGATCAGGGAAGCCCGAAACAGAGCTGAGTCCAAACCTGAACACATACACCAGATAACTATCATGCAAACTCATGTAACAAAGACTATGACAGGGAAACAGAAGTGGTCAATAACCCCAGGGCAGCTGCTATTGGCTTGTGTCAATTATGACACCAAAACACATATGACGAATGTCAGTAAAAGGACTCAGACTGGTGTACACCATCAACTTGAACACAGCGGTGTCCAGGGACCACGACACAAAGATAGAATGCAAACTGCATAACACATTTACATTGATGTTATACCCAGGCAAACTCATTTAGGGCTTATGTCATACATTGACACACAGATTTGCAAATGTGAGCATAAAATAGCTGACTAGCAGATAATTTTTTCCAACTTGTAAACTCTCTACCTTTTTTCACTGTTTCTTAAATACATGTGTACGTATGTATAAGTGTTTGTGTTTTATATAAAGCTCACTCAAAAAAAAGTCTTAACGCTTGGTGTCGGACTGAAATGTTGACACTGTTCATGGGTGTTTATCTCTGAAAAATAAAGCAGTAATCAGTGTGCTTTTCTCAGAGTTTATATATATTAGATTCAGAGATCACAGCCATACTGCTTAGTAAGATGAATTAAATTTATTAATTCTACAGGTCAGATTTACAGAATGTGTATATGTGATGAGTTAGCTAAAATGTTCTACCATGTCAAGATACTTTTGTGCACAGGTCCAGTGACGTAAAGTTGAAAACATTATTTCAAAGTATCGTAACATTAATTTTAAACCAAGCTTATATATTTATGTATTATATAATTTTATATTAACCCCAGTTTATCCACATAGGGCTTGAAAAACTACTACGACACCCTCCAGCTCCAGCTTAATGACATAGTTGAACTTGTAAGAGGAAAGTTGTCCAAACAGACAAGGACTACACTCGGGGCTTTGGTCACCATTGACGTACATGCTCGAGATGTGGTCCTGGATATGATCGGAACAGGTACCATGTTTAACTCTTCGCAGTATAGTGCACTGTAGCTAGTAGTGTATGTGTATTTTCACTGATTAGTTTACACTGTGCAGGCCTTTCACAACTGTTCACGAATGTACTATTTTGTTTTTAAACTAGTAAAATGTATTCACTTCAGAAAATATATTACATTCATGTAACTGTTAACAAAAATCTCACCTTCTACTAGGTGTTACCCATGAAACAGATTTCCAGTGGCTCTCCCAGTTGCGGTATTACTGGGAAAATGAGAATGCGCGTGTTCGGATCATAAACTGCAATGTGAAATATGCCTATGAGTATTTGGGAAACTCGCCACGTCTTGTCATTACTCCACTCACAGACAGGTGCTACCGGACTTTGGTATGAAGATACATTGTGTTTCCGCTTAGAGGACATTTGTTACGACATATAAACTCTCCTAAGCAATTTCCTGTATCAAGCAATATTTTTCATAGTGGTATTACCAACACCTGCTTCTCTAGGTTACTTTACTACCAGGTTTATAGTTAATATCTGTTACTTTGGATGACAAGTGTGGAAAGTTCAGTGACTTGCCACAATGTTGGTGTCAGGTGGCTAGACATACGTATGTTATGTATACATATCACATAGAAAAAACATCTCGGCTCACACATTTTTTTAGTATTTGGTGCTGTAATTCTAGGTGAAGGGAGAGGTGCCATTGTACAGAACACTGGTAAGATCTCACTTGGAGTATTGTACGCTCTACTGGAGACCGTATCTCCAGAAGGATATTGATACCTTAGAGAGAGTTCAGAGAAGGGCTACTAAACTGGTTCATGGATTGCAGGATAAAACTTACCAGGAAAGGTTAAAGGATCTTAACATGTATAGCTTGGAGGAACGATGAGACAGGGGGGATATGATCGAAAACATTTAAATACATAAAGGGAATCAACACAGTAAAGGAGGAGACTATATTTAAAAGAAGGAGAACTACTACAACAAGAGGACATAGTCTTATTACAAATAATTTCAGGAAGTATTAATTTACTTAGAGGGTAGTGGATGCATGGAATAGCCTTCCAGCTGACGTGGTAGAGGTTAACACAGTGAGGGAGTTTAAGCATGCGTGGGATAGGCATAAGGCTATCCCAGACTTAAGATAAGGCCAGGGACTAATTAAAAGTATTTTGAAATATTGGGCAGACTAGATGGGCCGAATGGTTCTTATCTGCCGTCACATTCTATGTTTCTAACTGAACCGATACTATGAGTCCTCATAATAGCTTTGGAATGGTTGTGATAAATCAATTGTCTAAATCTCTAACTTATCAGAAAATGTTTTCCTTGTACAATATCAAACTTTATGTAGAGAAAAAAAAATGTCTTGTAGCTTTCTAAAAACGGAACAGTGTGGATACCTTCTGATCCCCATTTAAAGAACTGTGACCAGGAGTGTTCATTGTCAATACTTGTAATATTCTTAATTCCTAAACTA